AGTTGCGATCGCCATGGTGGCGCGGGGAGTGTGAAACGGCTTTGACTGGGTGGCCCTACTTCACCATGGTTTTCTGACAGTCTCCAAATTAATCATCGGTTGCTTGAGGTGGTGGTGTTCAAGAGCAATTGGCAGGGTCTTCAGACCAACAGGTCTATAGCAAATTGATTTTGTATTGGGATTTCTTAATCTGGATTTGTGGTAACTTAATGAATTGCACCCTTTTGTGGGACGCAAATAACGGATTTTAATCGCCGTATCCTATTTACCGAGGTACATACCCAATTGACTATTGGAAAAAGCTTGACCTGTGAAAAAGGTGGATTTTGGATGAGACCTGGAAGTGTGGTTACCCCCGCGATGTTATTGCCTCCCATCAGACGTCGGATGCCTTGAGGTTACTCAGTGTGCTTGTGCTACTGTTTGCCCTGACATCTTATTATATGGCTGCCTGCACTGAGAGCAGACCGTGGTAGTTGTCCGAGTTCGGGTTGTCCGCTGGTTAAGTGCAGAACTTGGAAAATTATGCTCCACGACCTAATGAAAACCGGAATATGTCCATTTGTCGAGGTTATCCTGGCTTATAGCTATCCTGTCGCTTTTTCATATCCTTTCTTCTTTAGCGGAACGCCCTAACTAGTGTCATCCGACGCAAATTACTGGAACGCATGTGATGTGCGGCCAAAGAATACAACATTAACCCACTCTTTAAACAAATGTGATAAAAACCATTGTAAACCATCAGCTATGCTGTGCACAGATTGGTTGTCTCTCCGTCACCTCTACACAGTTTTGCTCGCGGTTATTTCTGGCCTAGCCGAACCTAACCCTATTTGAATGCAAACTTGTAGAATCTACAAGCTTATTCCTGGTTGTTAAAAGAAATGTAAATTGCATTTTCACTAGGTTTTTCGTATGCTTGCATGCATCGATGTTTTTCATGGATTCTCTTGTGGACACGTCTTCCAGGTGGCGGTAAAATGACATCAAGTGTGTTATGAGGCTACAGTTTGCAGTTAGATATTAATATTGAGCGGGTGTAATACTGTGCTTTAATGCCAAAAGCCAACTGTTTGAGGAAAAGATTCTTTTCACCACTTGCGCTGTAGTGTGATTTGTCACGCCTTATGTCAGTGTTTTTTGCACTTACTTGGCGACTACTCTGCATCCAAAAAAATCTGGGCGAAACAAAAAGTCAGTAAATTTTTTAGTATTAGTCTTAAACATGCTCTCTTTTGCGTAACATCAGTCACATTTTGGAACACAAGCCCCCCTCACTTTGGCCACGTAACAGGCGCAAAATTAGTCGGTTTGTTTTCCAACAGCCACGGCAGCAAGGCCGATCAATGAACGCTGCCGTCTTCGCGCACAACTTGCAGTATTTCCTGGCCGCGGCTGTGACATGTTCAATCAACTTTACCACATGTCCGACCTGTATTTGTTTCAAACAATCCAAATGATGTGAGAGCGCTACCGATCAGAAGTAAATTATGCTTCCTTTCAAACGCCTGTTAGGTTCTGGTGCAATAACCAACTTCCCAGTCATAGTTTAGGTAAAAGCGTCATGTCTGTGGTAACTTCGAGTGTCTATTGTTGTGTTCTGGTGTGGCATTGGACTCTCTGTTGAAAGGATGTAGTCTTTCAGTGTGGTTGTACCAAAGCATTGCGTATGTTGTTTCTAAGTTGCGATTAAAGGAAACAGGCTATGGTATTTAGAGTTAATAGTAAATAACAAACCCGTTTTAAGCAACTTATTGTGGCGCGTACTACGTCCGAGGCCTTGTGTGCTTTTTACTGGTTTAATATCATGTTTTCCTCAGGTTACTTTTATGCCGATACAAATTTGCCTGTTCTTTCCGCATTACTCCAGTACACATAAGTTGTATAGCACAAATTCCCTTCGGGTTTTTATCTGCTGAATAAACACCCTCGCAATATTTGCCTTCATGCTCGTTTTCTGTTTAAACTTCTAGGAGAATCGAGTTCTGTGCTTATTTAATGTTTTCCTACCCAATGAAAAGGTCAATTTAACATCAACATCTAACTGCGAAATTTCGAGGCGCATGAATGACTTAGTTTTTACCAGGATAACAGGTTTATACCATTTAAATAAAAGGCCTCAGTCATGATTAATGGTTCAGGCCTGAAAATTCTTTTGCCACTCTGAATTTCTGGGGGTCCTTTACAAATCTTAACTAGCTCGTAGAATAACCAGTACACGTTGTAAATTATGGACAATGTGTGCTGTTTTTGTGGGCACGATTTTTCCCTCAACAGTTATGAGCGCTGTCCCCCAATGAAGTCTACCTCACTGCTTGTATATTTTTGAGGACAAAATGCGCAACTTATAATGCAGATTTCCTTTTAGAACCCAATCACAGTGTATCTTTGTTTTGGTATGCCAACATAGAAAATAGTGACGATTTATGCAATCTCCTGTTTAGGCAACGGGCGAATCGCAGGTCCTGGTGGTGGAACCAAGTCATTTGATCCCTACGAAGCCGCTCAAACAGTTTTTCCCACCCTCATCCGTCCCCTCCAAAAGTATATGCGTGCGACCCGTCAGCAGTCCCGTCACCCCGTCGACTCGGTCATCGACCACCTCGCCACCTGTCTCACCTTCGGTCTATCGCCTCTGACTTTCCTTGAGCGTTTCAATCCCTCGGCCTCAACCCCACAGCAGGACGCAGCGACGGCCGCCAACGCGCTGACCGTCGCCCGCAACATCGCTCAACGTCATCGACGACCTCTGACAATCGCTGGTGGGAGCGGAGACGGAGAGGGCGAGTACAAACCCCCCGGCCCGCCTGTTGCACCGGGGGGACAGCAGGTGTGGAACATTGTAGCCGATCGCGGACTCTCGCGCGACCTCGCTGACGGGATGGTCTTTCAACTAAAACGACAACACGGTAACTGCGAGATCTCTCTTCTCTGCACGGTGCATCGGCTACCTCTGCTGCAATTACTTGAGGCTGGCGTCAATGGCGGATCCGGTCTGATGGCTTGAGGCTGGTGTGCATTTATTTGTTGGTGAACACTCACCCGCCTCTTCCTCGCATCCCTCACTCTGCTGACTGATTCACCACAGTTTTACTTTATATATGCATTCATAAAACAAGTTTTCTTCACCACATGTAAAAGAAGCTAATTATACTCAATTCTTTCCTCGTCATGATTTATAAGACAAGCATGTCTATCAGCACACTTGTCCGATATTCTCCAATGGGTGTGCTTTATCCTGCAAGTTTTCTGTAGAAATGGTACGCAGCTGAACTTTTTTAAATCCACCAGAAACGATTCATTAGTCGAATGTGCGAATAAAACTACGGATTCCTCTCAATTCTGTTTACTACTGATGCTTTTCATAATCATAGCAGGCATAGTACGTGTGCTTGTCGTTTGGCGGAAAAATGCGCGTTGATTTAGTTTGAATCCTTACAGTACTGATTAGAATCTTTCTCTCTGATACTCGATAACGGTTGCCAAATTATGCGTGATAGCCACTTCGGTATTTACCGATTTGTAATCCCATTTATATGCGTTATAAAATGGCTCCATCGAGCGACTAAGCTGTGTCCAGACACGCGGTGGTTGGACGAGGCACGCTGTAAGTGTGCGCACACCTCCGTGTCATGCATGTGCATGGATTAAAATTAATGCCAATGTGAGAGTATATCAAGTCATTATTGTTGGTCGCTTGTTAGCATTGATTGTTGTTAGACCAATCGTGGATCCGACTCGAGTGTCGTCTGAAACGTAATCCCACAACCAGGTCAGGTTATGGCGACAAGGAAACACATACCAGTGAGATTTTTCTTCGTCACATGCACAAATGGGGGAGTTGGCTCGAATTTCTAAAATATTGCTTCACCTTGATAATTTCCTCGGCATGCGACTAACAGCTTGGTTTAAGTTCCTTTTTTTCCCACAAAATGATGGAGGAAAGTGGGAGAAAATACAGATGTATATTGTGGCTGAAAGTTATTTAAAGATAAGTGCACGCTTGCAAAAAGCGGCATTGGAAGTTGCACTACTGAATAGGGGGTTTGTCGAGACTAATTAATCTCAATTAGTCAGCAGACTTCGTGGCATTTGTTCCTCCTAACTTTTCGCTGCATAGTTGCTTTTGTATTGCAGCCTAATCCCGTCTCCGTGGCTCGCAATTAGCAAACTTAGTGTATTAAACTCGGTCCCACTAAGTGCTGTGTTTAGTTTTCCGCAATCGTTGCACGACTTATTAATTAGCAATAGATTCGAACGATGCATTTTTTTCTAACTAAGTCGTTTATGTGTGCTCATCCGTTTGGCGAAGTGTCCCCCATAAACGCGGAATCGTGGAGGTGCAGTGGGCCTCGACAGCGATGAGCTCAACTTAGGACCTCGTTCAGGTGATAAATAACAATAGCCGACGTACAAGGACTTTCGTTGACCATTGGGAAACCGCTCATATCTATGCACATTTGAAAAAAATGTCTGCACGCATCAATTTTACGATTGGGGGCCCTACATGTCTTGAGTTTTGTAGCAATTAAAAAATAGTGCATTGGAGAAGATCCCAATTCTGAATTTTCATATTGGAAGAAGAGAATAATCTAGTTCAAAATTTAAACACCTCACAACCCAGTTTTGTGCTCTCAATCTGACCGCAGCGTGTCTCAATTTCCCATATTGTGAAAAAAGCAAAATCTGACAACCGACGGTTCCACATAGATTGCCTCACTCTCACGTAGGGTGCAGTGTCTGATATTTAATATACTGATGTCCAGCTCCTTCTACGTTGCTTCACTCAGCAGATACTAAGTGTTAGAAATGCAATCCACATGCTAGGAGAATGTCGTCGAACATCTGGCACCTTTGAGTGTGTGTAGTCCCGGTGGTTTTTTCGTGCATCCGCTGATGTCGCTGAGATTTATGATATCGACACCCATGACTCATTGGTTAAGTCAAACGAAAACGCAACTCTCGTCACATGCATTTAAGTTAGCAAAATATTCTAAATGGCACCAAGCGAGATCGCCTGCTTAGCTGCGACCTCGATGATTATGATTTAATTTTTAAACTCCTTGTAATATACTTTTTGTCATGCCCTTTATTAAAAGACACATGACGATAGATTGAAAGGAAACTTCAGGTATTGCGATTTGAGATTTGATCCAATCCACGGGACTACTGGTGCACATTCAGCACGAATTCATTGAACCGGGTTTGGGACATGGCATCGGGAGGAGTTCAGATTTGATGTGAATGCGAATGGGTCGACTGTTTTCGCACGTAAGTCAAAATGTGTCAGGATAGCTCGTGTTCCACTATCACGTAAAAAAGAGTCTGATAATATGGTCTCCAGCTGAAAAATGTGGCTACAGTCTGCCGACTGATGAAAAATCAGCCTTTTTACCCACAGGAGAGTCCCTCCTAATATCATAGTTTAGTTAAATGATAACAACAAATTTCGGATTATCCTTAAGATGTCAAAAAATATTTACTTTAAACTCAAGTATCTCAGAGACTAACGCTAACCACACTCCACCAGTATTGGGAGTGCATTCGACACAGCGGTCGTCGAATTACAATTTATTTGAAAGCACCACTGGCCCAATGGGTTCAATCACATGTGACATGAAACGGTAATTCATGACTAGCAGGACAGTAAAGTGCTTCCGATCTTGCTGAATAACTAGCACTAGTACCCATAGAATCCCTACATTCATAATTGCACAACCCTAGTGAAACAGATACTTGGTTCCGCCGTAATACAAATCAATCTATAACGGGAATTATGTAACGCACACGAAAAGTCGTTCTGAGTACAAAAACGAAACCTCCAGAATTGGACCGTCACAAAGGCAAAAGAGGAAAATTGATGGACTAGTCTTGTCGTATCATCGTAAAAGGGATTTCCTCTGGATGACGTATGACCCCATTCCACGAAAAAAATATGTGGATTTTAAAATAAGTTCATGTAATATTATGATTAAACCCTCAATCCAAAGCCATAAGTGTCCAAGTCATTTGCTCAATCCAATCAATAGCTGCTATTAAGAAATCTAAATTTGAGCCAGTATTACTCAGTAGCAGCAGTCAGCTACGTTTTGCACAACATTATAATTATTTTCCCAAATGAATGATTTTGCATTTAGGCTAATCAAGAAACGCTAAATGCCAACGATACTCTTGTCTTCCACGCAAGTCGTTATTAACTGCGAATTCTAGTGCATCCAAAGCCAATACATCAGATCTTTTTACAGACTAGGAAATTTGATATGCAATATTCCATTTACACTAATAAATCACCTTTAAGCCTTGTTATCGAATTTAACTATGAAATTTCCGATCTTAAGCCATGATTAATGGTTTAATCTGAACGGAAAGTTCATTTCCACAAATATTAGAAAACGAATTCAGAAATTCAGTCATTTTAAAAGGCCCAAGTGCACGAGGAGAATTTATCCATAAAAACTGCTAAATTATCAGAGATCGGATTTATCCAAATTAAAGGATGAAAATAAAAAAAAGAATTTTCAGCATCCTCAGAGCCACTTCTGCACATTTTCTCTACAGACAACTTCATTAGCGTGTCATTCGTTTCGTCTATTTTAAGATCAAACGAATTCCAAACGACCATTTTAATGTTTATCACAAATTTTGAACATTATCGGGTGCACAAAACCCACGTGGTCATGAAGTATCCGGTAAACAATCTCACTTTTGAACTCTTGGTATTTTGAAGACTCTTAGCATACACGGGGTCATAGTCACCGGCTAACTCCTTTTCAAAAGGACGAATGAGGTTTTTTGCCTGAATTACCCTGAAACTCATGTTGATTCGAGAATTAGGAACCAGATTTGCGCTAACTAAGCGTGCCACATACCTAACTTTTACAATCCCTTTCCACTCTAGAAGACACGCTTTGCGTTCTAGATACTTAAACTGCGAAATGTTTCAAAATATTGGTAAATATTTCTATTTTACTGCAAGTCCCTACATTCGGATTCACTGTCACCGTCTCAACTTAAAAATGCACATCATACCAAATTTCAGGAACTTAAAAACAAACCTAATGTTTTGTATTAAGTGATCACTTTTAATGTTCATTACTAACACGACAAATCTCACAAAATAGAGCAAAACGCAAATCAAAAGCGCTATAGATTTAAGGGTTGAACTGGCTGTTACACGAAACCTCTTTGTGTGAACAATAAAATATATAGAGATTACTAGGTCTTCTAGAAGGTTTAATGTATGCCTCGAACTAGGTTTGCAGAAACGACTGCCAGCAGATTTTGAAGTCGTTAGTTTGACACGATGATGGCTGTTTTTTGACTTTAATGGATCAATACTCTTATAATGTATTCAAGATTTTCCACGTATAAGAAAATAAATGCTTACAACCACTGTTACTTTAGTGGTGAATTCGAATTTGGTACAAATTATGAAGAAGTCTCGGTAGCGTTGGCTAGTCAAACTCACCCCATTGATTAACCAATGTCATTAATGAGATTGTTGAATATCGATGGTTAAACTTTGAACTACAAAGGTAAGCAATATCACACAATTTATTTTTCAGATCAATTAAAAAAGGAGCTGGAGAGGTGAGGAAAGAGGCGAGATTAGGTCCAGTCAAACCTGTGTGTCGCGCACATCGTGTACACGGACGAACATGTCCTTTTGCTGTTCCCGCTGTTTTCTCATCTGATAAGCTCGTTGGGCCTCTTCTGAAAGCAGAAAATTCTTCATATTTTGTCGACGCGCTTGTGGGTCTTCAACGTGCTGACAGACACTCTTCGGCACCCAACCCTCCCTACCGTCGGGCAGGACACCTTTCAGCCAGCCTTTAGAAGAAGATGGGGCAAAATTTATTTCAGAAGACAGGTGACTAAAGTCTTCAATTCATAACCTCAGAATAGTTCCATTTGTCTGCAGATTTTTAACAAATGTAAATATAATTGAGAGCCTGATGTGAAAGAAGCAAAATAAATTTCAAAATCTTTCTATGAGCATCGTCGTGAAAAAAGTTTCACGTTTTGTTTTGACAAGCTCAGCTTCATGACGCGGTCTAGCAAATGCCTAATTAAAAGAAACAAAGACTTGAAGGTGAAACTATGTAACCACCGTTACACTTGGGATACCTTAAAAAGTTTAGGCATGGCAAGAATGATCAAAAACAACGCAGCTTCTTTCGGATGGTCAGGCGATTACCTAGACTTGTTTTAATACTATCAGGTCTAGTTGAAGTTCTAGACTTATCGCCACATTTAGATCTGAATTATCATTCAGGGAAGAAATGTGCACCACCTTGTTTTTACTGTTGAATGGAGTGAATTTTATTCAAGTGGGTGACGACGTCCATTTACTATTTATTCTCCAGATATAAGGACAAAGGTACCTTCCATCAGTATTCATCACGACATAAGAAACTCAACAGCGCTCGTTCGAAGTCCACAGCCAAACTTAGCTTTAAGTCCAACGTTTGAAAGACAGAAAGTTCCTCTTTAGATAATCGTGTATCTAGCGTCTTGAAGCAATTTGAAATTTACGGATAGGAGTCGTTTACAATAGCAATAGGATATGATCTTAACCTCCATTAAAGCAATGGTCAAATTATAAGGATTATTTTAAATGGCACCCGGTCATTTTGAAATGGAAACGTCCTATTGTTTTCCGTCAAGCAGTAACAAAAATGGTTTCATAATTTCAAGGCTGTTGTGGTAATGAAAATATCACATTGAGAATCAAAACATGTAAAAATAACTTGAATTCCAAGTTTGCAGCTGAATATAAGTATGACGATATTCTTTGAAAAAAAGGGCAATCATCATGGCATTTCGAGTCGAAAAAGTAGAGAAGAGTAAGCGTTTATGAAATAGAAATGCACAAATTTAAAAGTTGTGATACGGCCCTCAGAGCTCACTTCCTTATATTTACTAACACGAACGGACTGCCTTGTGGTGTTGGATATAGTCAACCTTTACTTCCCTTTTTTAGAATATTTTGAGTAGTCACGTGGATACTTCGGAAATATCTAGCCACGTAAATCTACTTAGTTTTAAATGCTGCACCGAAGACTTGACTTAGGCCCATTTTGCAGGACGACAGATACTGTGCAGCAGTATCACATCAGCATTTAAATCATCTACGTCTGTCCAGGAGACAATAGTTAATTTAATTTGATTCGAAGGCATTAGTAATCACAACTTTAAAACTGCCTTGTGCTTGTTCTGCATCAAGAAGACTTTTGCTACTTGGACTATGTAAATGAAGCGATGTTTTTGTTTAAAGCCGAGCGATTTGCATTCCACCAGCAACGGGAATAGTACCCTCTTTATCAGCAACCTAAACGTCCTTCCAAGAACCAGATGTCAACCTCACAAAACGGAAAACCTCAAACAAAGTCAAAAATTGAGCTGCAATTAACGTTTAGGCTCTATTATTGTGAACAAAGGCAAACAAAAATAAAGACAAAATATGGAGGTTATTTGTTCGAACATCCAAGTGCGGACGTTGCAAAGTGTTTGCAATTCGTATAGACTTATTATCTCCAAATTAAAATACACGAACCACGCAGCTAAAAATAGCCAACGCATTGAACGCGAATTAGTAGAAGACGTCATTTTTAAAAAAAAATGCATGAAATAAAGTAAGATCTCTACGTAGAAACCATTTTTTTTGCTACTGATCACAAAAATTACCTTACGAGGCAAAAAATAGGAAAACCAATGAGCTGTCATCCAGTTCTCAGAACCTAAGACCGCTATTAAACCTCATCGAAAGAAAACCGAAGTGGTGTCGGAGGCTTACCTTTACTTCGTGGGCGAAAAGGACCAAATCGAAAAAAATAAACTGTACAAACAAAGTCATTATAAGCTTTTCCATTTTGAAACTTCGTTTGAACGCGAATGACGCCGACATTTTTCTATTTTTACAACAATTAGTGTGAAACCTAAGATGTTTAGCTATTCTATTAGAAGGAACTTGAGGCACTTTACCAGTGAATGTCCAAAAATATATCAATATATTTTAAAAATTTCAAACAACGAGGAGTTACCGTCTGATAATTCGACGATGACGTTCATTAAATCTCCTTCTTTAACCTCCAACTCATCTCTCTCTGTAGCTCCATAGCTAACGATTGCAATCACTTGAGGGCAGTCTATAAAAAGGACAGAAGCCAAATGTAACGAAAATTATTGTTTTGGATTCCCTCAAATTTTCCTATATTTTAAGGAAACCCTTAATTACAAACTTCTATTGAAGATAAATATCCCCTGACGTCCACCATCGGCGGAAGGAGTAAGCCTTGGACGTGGTTAGGCATTTGTCTTTCAGCTGCATGTCACTGGTTTTTTTGGCGGCATGTAGTACCAAAAGTTATGCAAAACTTGGCGAACTGATTCAAAAAAGGGTTTGGAGTAGAAAATTTATAGAACCCCTATCGCTACTTTGTTTTGCCTATGTATCTACTTTAACTCAGTCACGGGTAATGTTGCCAGTCAAACAGTAGAACCTGTTAAAGTGTCGAATGTAATGACAGTCATATCCAGAACGTCTATTTTGGATTCCTATCAAGGCTACAGTAGTCCTTAGCAAGTTTATTTAACAGGAGGGCCAATCAACCGGTTTCGTGTGAACTTTCTTTGTGCAAAAGGTTCGTGAGTTACAATATCCCGCCAGAACTCTGATCATCTGGCCTACAGCTTCCTGCGAGAATTTCGATTCACATGAAAAAAAAAACAATATCTAGAACGTCAAGTCTTGAAGAATCAAAGACAGTTTGTCAGCTTTTAACCTGATGATGTGCTGACTAATGGACACCTGAAACACGTTAATTCATCAACTATGAGCAACGGTACCAGTTAGAGAACAGTTCACAAAAACCGCAAGATAATAAATTAAAACTTCCAGGTCCCACGACCTACTTTAAATTTGTGCAAGCGATTAAACTTTAAAGCTGACATGAATAATAGGGAAGGGAAGAGATGTTTGCTGCCTACCCCATGTATCATAGCTGATCTCGGGAGGGACACAGTAGTAACCCGGTTGAAGAGCATCCACCCAGCGTTCCCGTTGGGACCTACAGCGAAACAAAACAGGACCAGTCAACAGAGCTGGTATGTCAGAAGTCAATCATTCAATTTTCAACTACCCCGCCTTTGTTAGGCACCACCCAACAATGAGAAAACTACTCCACAGATTGCATTCGCAGCCACGTGAGTCACTGATGCCAGGCCATCGCTGACATTTTTATTCAAATCTTTTGTGGCCTGGAGATTTAAAAGAATTTTTTTGTTTATCGATGAGAGTAAAAAGCTGATTTCCTCAGGCTTAGTAAATTAATTTTGCCTTCAAAAAATAACTTTTAATTTCTATTTCCATCCAGTAAGGTAGATGAGCATTGTGTCAAGGCTGCATTAATTTAGCGGTTCAATTTTGCCAGTTTGTCTACCATTAGCGTCAAAACGTGGGGTCAGGCTCGCTAATGCTGGCTTCACATGATGCTAGCTCAGGTCTCATATTAAAAGTGAGTTATAAATTGCAACTTCCATTGGGTCCATCTATTAAATTTGGCTACGACAGCGATGAGTCACCTTTCGATGAATTGTTTAGTATAAAACCTCATTGTTCAAGTGATAATGGTCTCTGTGGTAATGGTAGATTAATGTCATCAGTCAGTATATTTGACCACCAGTTTACTACGTGCAGTTTCCTCATTATCTTAACACGTACAACTTATCACGATCATTGAACTGAAGACATTATCGATAGCAAAATCAAAAAATACATTTTAATTCTCGACAAACAGCAAAAAGATTTTTTAAAGGTTGTCCCCATGAATGACCTAAGTCTATTTAAACTCAACCCATTTTGTCAGGTTATAGTACACAAAAGTCATTTGCATTCAGAGAAATTAACTGCAACTTCCAAATTCCAAAAGCAATATTAATATGCGCTCATTTATAGTCTTTCATCACAAAGACCGGGCCTCCATTCGATATAAGACTATTGAAAGTACTCATTTCTTGCAGTCATAGATAGTTTTCGCCTAACAAATTACTTACAAGGTGTCGCATGAGAAATGGTAGTCGACAATGGAGAAGTCAGTAGACTGGAATGTGAGGATAAAGGGGTAACCCGGGAACCCGCCGCCGCCGCCCTCCGTCGCATTGCTGACCGTGGACCCCGAGTGCCGACCGGAGCTGCCTTTGGAGCGCGAGCGTTCGCGGAATCGACTGCTTTGGCGTGTGTCAGCAAGCTCTCGTGACTGACGCACGGAGACGGAGCGATCAGGCCGAATGTGGGGCACAATGTAGAAGGGATCATCAGAGTTCGCTTTGGTCTTTAACTCAGTCCTCTTGATCATTGAGTCCACCGGGGGCGCCTCAACGGTCACGGCGAGGTCCTCTACTGGACTAATATCCTCCACTAGATACTTTTCTCTTCAAATAAACAGTAGAAAATTAAAATGCAATCTGAACTCACCCACCAATAATAAAATTTTGAAATACGGATTGTCTAGCGTCATAAAGTACATTTGTAAACCCAGTTTGCACATGCAATATTTTTAAAGTGTATCTGGACTGTCGATTACGACAATATTAAGTTTCATAAAAGAAATTTCCACATGTTTGGCTAATTTTTTTAAAGGACAGTTGAGATAAAACCCGCTCACTGTAGTCTTTTAAAATCTTTTGGGAAATAAAATGGAGTAGCCATTTTTAGAGGCTTACATTAATTGCGCTAAGATGAATATTTAATATTTTTAATGAAACCATAAACCCTTTACCGGAAAAATCTAAAAAGGTATCCCAATAAGTAGAAATCTAACGATAATAATTTAGGTGAATCAGCAGGAAATAGCGTAGCACAATTGTATTGCTTTTGACTGCTGCATATCCTCAAAGTGTTTTTTAATGGAACATGAAAAACACAAACATAAGGTTGAATTAATCCATGTTGTGGTATACTTGTCCCTTCTAATCACAATTCCGAAGTACAAAAGGCGTTAACATTTGAACATTCTTTTTCTATAGACTGTAAAATGAACATTCATTCGTTAATTAAATTTGTAGAATTCGCACTTTTCCACAACTAATAATAACGTTTGTATTAGCAATTGAATGACTTCTAAGTTAGGAAAAGTAAAGAAGCTTGTAAATTTGTGTAAAAAACTTTACTGCTACGGAATTTTATGGTTTAAAAAATAAGAAAATGTTAAATCTCAAGGATAATATGGGTGAGCAACAAGTAATGGTGATGAGAAATTTAAAGTTTACAGTTGAAAATAAATACAAGTAACGCATGAGTACAGACAATGAATGCTGGGAAACCCAGAATCTCTGACACACATAATTTTTATAAATAAGAAAAGTGGTAAGTAATCTTGTCGAAATTAGTGCTATTTATATTGTGGGAATTAGTTTTCAAGTTAAAGCAAAGTCAAAAAGTGTTAAGTGACATTGAATAAATTAAAACCTTGTTTGACATGCGTCTACTTTAAACACAAGGTTTCCGATAACTTTGGTTGACACATTCAATTAAAATACAAGAAAACGTTGCCTCCTAGTCTTCAGTTACATTTACCCTACAAAGTCGGAAGAAATAGGAGTACGCCAAGCGTAAAGAAATTTAGTTTTGAAAATTGTTATTTATCCACCCGATTATTCTGCAGCAGTCGTAACAAGTGTAATAGTTCAAAGTAGAATCAAAATTAAACCTGAATGATCGAGTAATTACCCTTTTCTTTTTGCGATTAGGAGGAGATCAGTGAATAAGAAGAGAGTTATTTGAGTTGGTTTATTCTTGAAAGTGTCAGATAATTTGCGTCTGAAGGCAGCATTCGGTAAGTTTGAGGTACCCAGAAGACGAAGATTTCCTTCTTTTATCAGCTCACGGCTTCCAGTACCCACGGCCTACAAGTAAAAAAAGTAGCCTAAGTCATAAAACACTTATTAAAAAGTCCCAGTACTCTTTCTTACCCTGAGCGTGCTTTTGAATTCCAATTGACTAGACAATGTGACGAGGCGCTCTTTCTGCTCCATGTGTCCCTTCTGTGTGTTGCAGTCAGAAATCAACTAAAAAATGCCAGTGGAAAAGTTATTCAAGAACTCTTTTAAAAAATACTACTGCATTTAACCCGCTTTTCAGAGAGCCCTACGGGTTATCAGCAAATTAATCGATGAAAAATGTAATTTAAGCCAACATTTCCATAAGGCCTTTGCAGAGTTGCCTTTTATCGACGTCTTCAAAGAAATTAGTTTTTGTCTTTAATTGGTGACCAAGCGCCATAATCAACAGGGTTCCCTTAAGTTTGATTAAAAATTTCGGAAAAGGGTAAAATTAACCTCCCATGATTAAAAAGAAATTAGCAACAATATGAAGTTGAACACTGTCATTGGGTTAATGATTGAAGCATTTGCTTCAGCTAGAAGTTATAACACCTTGTCAGCGCGTCTACCTGTGTTAGGCCTGCTCAGCTTAGCTGATGAGGGCTCGTATGACGTGTACGTAGCGAAATTGGTTTAGCAGTCATTAGCTACACGTTTTGGCTTGCGATTAACGTTGAAGTCATACTTCTGGACACTTCATGAACAAAAGCAGAAAGATAATGTACGTTTACTGATCTTTCAACCTTATTAAAATACATTTTCGGCATGGGCGCCTTTAATGCACCACTTATTAATTTGATTCATTATTTCATAAAATTCCACAATTCAGGACGACCCGTTCAAGCCGAGTTTAAGGTTTTACATTGATAGTAAGCAGTTCAGATTGATCAAATAAAATTGACAAGCAAATGCATCTTGTAACGGAAAAACAGCACTTTTTTTGCACTGCTATCTCAAACAAGTATGCGGTAATTCTGCTTTACGTTATTCGTATCGATTGCCTTTGTAAAGAGTAAACTGTAACATCCTTTTATACAATGTGCTTTAATTACGGAAAACGACATGCTGCTCAACTTATTCTATTGGAATGCAAGCTTTGGATTCACACTTTGCAGAATGAAGGCAAAATCCAGAAGTCATTGATGTATGAAACCCTGCCAATTATAAAACACAATACCTTTTCAAGAGACGCCAATGCCACAAGGCCGCTCTCATAGGCAGGCGAGGATTTCGGCGTGTAGTGGAGAACGGCAGCGACGAGAAGACGCAGCCGCATCACCCTCTGCATTGGAAGCACCAAGAAGGAATTAAGATCGAGTGAACTGCATTGTGGCATGCTTTGAATCTGTATCAGAGCTTCCTTGAATGCTGGTCGATTCCTTGAGACAAGAGAGCAGACTCGTGAATTTGGACACTCATTGTGGTGGTATTGGGAGTCGTATCGGACATGGCAAATCGATATTAGTTATGCTTGATACCATACTGGTTTAACTTGCTAATGTCAAAGGACATATAAAAAGGTACAGGATCTGTGGCTTTTGAAATTCATCAGACTTTATTATTGTTAAGATTAAACTAGGCACAAAACGTACTTCCGAACAATGATTCTGTCTGTCTAAGTAATGGCACTCCAGATTTAAAATAATTTACTTGGCAGTGCAATACCAGGCAAACTACTGATTCACTGTACATTAGATACGTGACTTACAATAGCTTACTCAGCGTACGGGTTTGATACATTTGGTTTTTCACGTATGTGACGTAATAAGATAATTTTGTTTCCGAGTGTTCATAAAGGATTTCGCAGATATTTTCCATCAGCGGATCCTTGCGGAAGCTCGTCTCTAACGAATGAAGAAGGCTAAAGTACAAAACGTTATTTATAACGCAATGTGCGGGAAAAGTATCAAAGTTAATTGCAATAAATCACCAACTTTTCACTTGTCGCATGAATATTGACGATGTTTGAAAACAGCTGATGCTTGTCAAATTCGGTAATGACCGCGTTTGGAGCTGAGGGATTGAAGACAGGAGCTTTGTAGAAGAGATCGATAAGGACCGTCAAACTCTTGTAGTAGGAGGCCTCCGATGTGATGATTTCAAAGCGCGCCTAAAATGTAGTTAGTCTAAGGTTGTTAATTGAAGCTATTTCAATGTATTAAATAACCAGTTAGTTAAAGGAAAAAAAACTAGAAAGTTGACTGTCCAGGCTAGAAGGTTACTTTCTGTGTTTTTTAAGCTACAGAGGCTAACCAGATGGATTCTAGATTGAAATACTACATACCTCTTCGAGGCTTCGCTGTTCCTTGGTCATTCCAGCCAAGAGATTCCTTCGTTTGACCTCGGGCATGTCCATCCATCTAACTCGGGCCGGGCCCGTGCCTGAGAATTCATTGGCTACTGTGTTCATTTCACCAAATTTAGCAGTTCTTTCGACGTCTGAACGCTTTCGCGGCAAGTCACGTTTAATTACGGTAAAGCTTGAGGTCTTCCTGGGACCGGACGTCTGTACGTCGCTTTCATCATCACTTGAAGACGTCGACGATGACTGCTCGTCTGGACCGAATTTAGGCGGCGCAACGATGGGCTGGGCTGGGCGGGCAGGCCGTTGATCACCGCGCTTTCTGCGCAGCGACCGAATGGATTCTAAATGCACCAGTGTTTGTAGACGCATATTAGCATTCAACCCATTCACTGAAGCGCCATTTCTTCTAAGGTACATGGCTTAGTAAGTAATGAATAACGTAAAAATACATAACAAGCTAAATGTGCATAGGCAGTTCAGAAGAAAACGCATTGAGAACCCTTGCTGCGCAATTCTGAATTCAACGGTACGCTGACTGCCATTGATTATTTGCGTAGGCGAACGACATATCCATTTTAGTCAAGAGCGATATGCTACGTTCTACGTAATATCTATCAGTAGAGAGTTTTGACTAGAAAATCTTTTAAGTAGAGTTTGTCATGGAAGTTAAACTTATCATTTTCAGAGCGAGCCGTTGGGTCTTATGGGACAGATAGTTATTCTAAAGCAAATTTTCTTAAAAAAGTCGAAAATTACCACTTGGAACTGACACGATACTGTGAATATTATAAAGCGGTATTAGTATTCTCGAGCATATCGAAGCCTTAAATAAGGGAAGCTTATTTAAAACGTAATGGAGAATATTTCATGCACGTATTTCGGTGCGGCCCTTCGTACCAGAGTGCCAATTATCGCAATTTTTTCTTAATTCTGCTTTTATTTTCTGTTAGTTATCGTGCGTGATCTTGCTTAAAATCTGCTCCGCTCGTAACCATTTAAAATCCAATGCAACACAATTAGCTGACAAAATTTCACGTTTTGATGCATCACATTCTGAAAGGTAAAATATATTTTTATAGAGGTGCTTTTTTTGTTTGAACCATCAAAACATCCTTTGTGATGTTTAGAGCTTTTTAACCGGTTTTGTGTACACAGCAAAAGACTTCCAAAGAGAAGTTTTTAAAATTGTAAGACTTTGCTTTTTAGGAAGATTAGATTCCATAGAAAGCCCTTGTAATACTTACAATTGACAAAAACCACATGTTCCCAAAAGGTCATTAACGGCTGAACTAAGGGTAAGCACTTTATTGATTGGTTATAAAGCAGTAGCTGGATTCCATCTTAAAACAATCACATTTTCCTAAAGCATTTTTTCACCTGTTTACTAAGGAAGGTTTACGACTACAGGATTTTGGGAACGAAAACTTTTATACAAAATACTATAGTTTTCCATTTTTAGCACTTGACTGCGTTGAAGACCGTGTTAAAAGAACCCAATGTCGACGGGAAACAGGAATCCGCAGAGAATTACACTTACTGCTAAAATATCCAAGTAGGTATACTTATAGAAATGTCCTAACTCAGCATCAGCCACTCCTGCTATAATCTCCTCACCATTTGCACCATGAATTCAATTGCTCAGTGTCTACTGACATAGCCCTCAAATTAAAATGACTCATGGGCGTTTCAAAAGTGGGTAGACGCAGAGAGTGAGGCAAAGAGGGGCAACTTATATTTAGAAGCCGGCACTGATGAGACACAATTCGACCATGATAATTGACCCTCGTAACTATTGAAACGTTAAAATTAGCGATGAGGTGTCCCACATATTGCGAAAGTCCGGCGTTTCTAGACGCTCTACGTTATGCCAGTTTTTGACATTCCCATTAATAACGATTAGGCAGCATTTTAACCAAAATGCGTGGCTCGCAGACGAACTTACAGAACGTTTGTAAGCAACGCGCTTTGGCGAAATGGTAAGTATTGGAAACCAGCCAATACCATTTTACTTTATTCCATAAATTAAAACAATCTAACATCCTACAACTCCCCAATCTTTCTGAATGTGGCCTCGCACGGAGCTGACTTAGTATGTGGATTAGTATTCAAGGCACATAAATTAATTTGGCATTGCTGTAACACTAATGACGAGACTAACTTTTAAGCGCTCACCTGGTTGGTGTTGATTGCGTGAAGCCGAATTTCCATAACATGAACTTAAATTGGTGACACTTAGCGAAACGGTTTTTGCATGAGTAGTTCACATGCGGTGTTCAGGTACCTAATTATTTTGGTTTGGTTATGGACATGAAAAATAAAAAAATTCCTGATCTTTTAAATGCGATAGCAAAGAATTGAAAAATTGCTCACCACGAAGTCTGTGGCGTAAACGGCGAGATTCCTTACGCCTGAAGTGTTCATCGTAAATTTGATAAAGAGGTGCGTTCCCAAAGATTGATATGTACGACGACTTGTGGTCCGATTTCTTTTCAACATCCTAAAGAGATTCACGTAAAATCGTAACCTAAAAGACATTCCTATTTAAAATGTCCCTTAACTTGCTCTGTTTAAGTATAGGCATTATGATAACACGTTATGTTAACTTGTAATTGCATTACTACTGAAATTAACCAAACGACAGCACTGTAATGGGGCGCCATGACTGTGAGGCAGCCTATGGATTCAACTGATGAAACTTTGTCACTGATAACAATTCTAAGAAGATTATGTTTCATATTGGAACGCTAAATATTGGTGATGCATTGCCACGGTGTCACGACCTAAGGTTCATAGGATTGAAAGTTGAAGACAAAAGCTGAGTTCTATCGCATGCGCAGAGTATGAGAGGTGAAAACTCGGCCAAACAATGCAAACTTTCAAGGGACATGTGTAGGTAAATAGAAAATCTTCAAATAACGACATATTTAGGATTGTTTTTCTTTAAGATGGATACAGTTTCGTTTTCTTTCGGGAAATCTCTAGCATAGAAGACTGAACTAAAACAGTGCTATAGTTTCCGGAGAACATTTTTAAAGCGTGATTGAGGCTAGTAAAGCAATACAGTGTAAACTATAGTTTTCTCAGGAAAATACAAAACGAAGAACTTAATGAAACTAGTGCTTTCATGACACAGCAGCTGCTCTAAATACATTCTTTGTTAATTTCCTCAAACATAGTGGTTAACTAACTTCTTTCCTAACTTGACAATTTTTACTGTGCGTAATCAAAGGTTTTGGAGGTTTATCGGCTAGGTCTGTGAATTTCTGATTTTATTTTTAACTTTGGAATCATGCTTTACTGTACCCACATCTTTGATACCCACCTTTCTAAGTGCCTATAAAGGCGACATTGGTTTGGTTACCGATAGCCCAGAATATTCAAGAGCTCTTTAGAGAACAGAATGCAAGGAACATAGTCAACTATAAATGTTGCCGCTTAGAAGATTGGCATGAGAGGATTTGGTTCAATGAATCCATGACACAATAAGGCGGTGTCTGTCTGGCTTACTTGAACAGTCTTCTTTGACCATAAATTTAGAAGTAAAAATCCAGAAATACATCTACAACTTGACATCAAACTTGCCACTTTCTATAGTGAGATACTTACGTCAAGCCTTGATGAGACCCGTTTTCGATCGTTTGTTTCCTGCATCTGATCCTCATCACCCTCCAGGCTTTTTGCGAAGAAGGCTCGTGCGTTGACAGTGCCATTTGTTTGACCCTGACCCCTAAAATGGTATAGAATAGCAAACCTTATCAAACCAGCATTGGTATTTCACGTAAAAACCCCCAACAAGTAATATTACCTGCGCAGAAATGAGAAACATCATACCCTAACACACGCACACACAGAAACACACAAGCAAAAACGTTCATTATCCTTGTAACACAAAACTGCCTTTTATTAAGGAAGATACCGGTGACGGTTGCCCAAAAAAGCCGCTTTATGTTGATGCGAATCGAAGCTGGTTGTTACATAAAATTTAGTGACTTGACTCCGTTCCTGTTTAAAATGTGCTGATTCTTACGCCCGCGTTCTTCTACTGTTTTGGGTTAAAATAACAAATTATGTCTTTCAGCCTGGGCATCGCTAAGTAAGCTCATTTCCAAGAAGATAATTCTACTAGGCATATTTAAAAACGGAACAACACCAAAGAACTTTCCATCCCGAAACAGTCTTTTTGGGACACTGTTTTAAATTTTGGAATTGCAATACAATTTTAACGAGGTACAAACCGCAGTTGTGGAATATTTTGACCATTTTTCTTTGAAATAGATGCTACTCTGTTATTCGAAAAAAAAAACAAATCAGTGCAATCTTATTTGATTTAGTAGAGGAGTCCACCCAATCAGGGTACGCAACGAGGATTGGCGTTTGTACACAAACTGTAAAATTTAAGTCAGCAACACAAAGCTTAGGAATCAACTTGGTACTAAAAACGCAATTAACCGAACGTTTCATGACTATTGCATATTTTTCAGATAAAAATACTGAAAAATTGGTTAAATAAGTAATTAAACTAATCATATTTAAACCAAAAAAATAGATTTAGCAAAAAATCATAGCTTATCGGCAATACGAAAGAGACCATATGAAATGAGTAGTTGACTCAACTTAGACTTGTTCATAACACAGATTTATAGGAAAAGCATATTTAGACTACAGGCAAAGAAATTGCCAAGTTGAAATGGGTCAGCGCTGCCCTTGGTTAAATTCTTAGGCAAACCTCAAGGACGCAACGAGTCATAACCTTATATACGAAAAAACATCTGACCTACACATAACTCTTAGTTTCTTTGCACATTTTTATATTGTATGCTGTTTAAAAATAATTTGCGATTTTAAATTAACAACTGAGATGTTAGAAATGATTAGCTGAGACGAACAATTATTTGAAATAGCAGTAAACATCGGGGAAGCACTCAGACTATTTAACAGCTTGAGGTATGGCTTACCTGGGTGTGGGTTTTTGAAAGACGATAGGGGGTCTCGAGGGATGGTCGCCTTTTAATTCCTCGAATCGTTTTCTTTTGTCTTCAACAGACACAGCTGGACTATCGACTGGACAATTCATGAAATCAATTAGACTTTAATATATTAGTAACCAAAAGGGTAGCAGTAAAAAATTAGGACTAAAAACATGGTTTTAAGGTCAAAACAATAAACCACATTTCAAAAGTATTCTCACATAAGTCTGATTTAATATAATATGAATTACAGTAACGTTGCTTGTAGATAAAAGATCACGTCAGTCTGTTTCTTAATGAAAATGGTACTCAGTTAAAGCTGAAGTTTTCTGCGTACTTAATTGCACCTGTACACACTGACTTAGACAGAAAGGATATTTCGTTAGACACGGCCTCACGTGGAACGGCTGCGGATTTTACCATTAAAATTAATAATGCTACTTATTTGTTATAAGTAACTTCAATTTAACTCACAGTATTGCGGGGGTGAAGGACGGGGTTTGCTAAAACGAATACAAATTATTGGATTTAGTTAAGGGAAACAAACTGAATTTCAGCAGAATTTAAGCTGAGCAGATTTTCTAGTCATTAATTCAATGTGAAAACACATTTTTCAAAATAAGTAAAATACTAAAGGTGGAGCAGCAAATTATGGCCACATATTAAAAGCAAAGAATATTTCAAAGTGAGAATCAAATCGACTCGAATAATCAACAAATATGGATAAACGACTTGCTTAAATCTTCAATTGAATATACAATATGGTTTATAAAAAGAGGTACAGAGTGCCATTGTCTAATTTGTTTCAATATTCTGGGAACTGCAACCTGAATCTGTATGCAATGAAAGGCCAAACCGGTTAACTTGCCTATTTATTAGTGGTATAGGTTGTGATTTTAAATGTCACAAATCTAAATATGTCGCAACTAGTCGGTCACCGTTAACCAAAATACAAGGTTAATTGCAAATTTTCCTTTCCAAGTACTTAATGTCGTTAACTTTTTTGCTTAGCATTGAGGATTGTAACATTTTGAAATTTTTTTGTTTGAGGATGTGATTTCGTTATTTGTCAGTTAAATAATAAATAAATGTGTGCAAATGCTTGTTTACGCACAAACACAAAATGATAAAAGCAGCACAAAAGAATCTTCATATTTTAACAGAAATGAAGATGCAGATTTACTGAATGTAAAATGTGCATTCACAAAATGTAAAGGGTTCCCTAAGCGGTAACAGCTTAGTAAAATTATGCGCTGTTGAACCCTTTGTTTTAAGGCATGCAATTTAAATTGGTTAAGGATTTAAATGACATGCAATTAGCAACATCTTTGTAAATAACTCCTATGACCATCAGGCATCCACGGAATACTTAGCTGTTCTAAGGGTCCCAGCAATTAGCCCCGAACACCACCACCTCAAGCAACCGATGATTAATTTGGAGTCTGTCAGAAAACCATGGTGAAGTAGGGCCACCCAGTCAAAGCCGTTTCACACTCCCCGCGCCACCATGGCGATCGCAACTCTTCAGTTGACCGCTGCCCGAGTTCTGCCCCTGAATGCCGCGACTGACAACAAGTGCATTCAGTGTCACAGCTGTCTGTGCTTTCGAGATGCGCGCCACAAAACCACACTTTGTGCGACCCCACCGAAACCCCGTCCTGACTTCGTGGGACACATGTCGTAGAGAAACTGTACGGAGACCGCGTCTTCAGTGTCACCCAACAATCAAGAAAAGGTTGCAACTGCAGTCAAGTGAGGAGCTCACTGCAACACAAACTCCAGACATTAGACCACTTCAGACAATTCAATGGGACACGAGAACATTCAAGTTTGAAGCAAGTTCAGTGCGTCCAATGACCTCCAAGCGAGGTGTCTGGTGGCTTCGGCATTTAGACCTAACGTCTACAAACGTCGACGTGGGTTTATTGCGAATGCCTGGTGAACGATGCCGATTATTTCAAGAACACTGATGAACTTGTATGAAATACAATGGAATTTCGTAAGCTGGAGCCTACATGCGAATCTACAAATATGTTCGGTCTGCCTTTCTATTTTACGTTGTTTGAAACACACACACACACACAATACGGCACAGTCGTAAATTGTCACTACCGGACAGCAAAGAGAATGCAAGAATTTTGAAGGACCTATTTCGAGATGTTCATGGCAGACCAAAGTTAATTGACTAACTACTGCATGTTTGGATCAGATGAGAAGTAATGAAATATCAGCATTGCAAAGATGATCATGATCGAGTTAACCGCTTCAAATTACACTCCTTTTTAGTGAAAGTTAGCAAGGTAATGGATAATTACCATGCTGGGCAATTTAACTAATTATGAATCTTGAGATAATGTGCGTGGTCATTGGCTGAAAAGGAGGTGTCGGTACGCCCACAGACAAAACAACTAGTCCCTGCGATTAAAACGAAAGTAGGCTAAAGATGGCAACAGCGTAATTGGTGGAGGCACTGTTTTAAGGTGGCCAAGTCGAAAGAAAGTTGGTGTGCCGAATCCTAACCAATAAAATATAAAACGATTGAGGATTTAGCATCCCCAAGACTACAGCTGTCAAGATTTTAAAATAATTTTCACTATCAGCTGCGTTTTATGAACCCCAACCTTCACACCCATATTCCTCGTCTCCTTCTTATTGTTTCATGAGCACTTGAGTGTCCCATTTTTCTTATCCGCATTCAAGGCTGCCCACGCCATATATAAATGGAAGCATATGAATGCGCCCTTGGCCGAGACGATGAAGGCTTCCTGTGCGACGTTTTGCCTTGCAGGGTGGGGGTGGGGGACGCTGACTCGACGTGTTTTGGCCTGAGTGACAGTGTGGGAGTCTTATCACGTGCTGGCAAAAGGGGTGGATTAGCTACGCATCTGCGCCGGGGGCCATGACAAAAAGCAAAATAGCCATGTTCACCCTGGCAATAACATCCTATGTTTAACACATAACGTTTTCTAGTGCAAGTGATTGTGATCTCAGGATGATACTACAACAAAAAAATCTGAAGTATCCATGGCAGCCGTCTTTGTACTGGAGAACTGCGTGATGAGAGCACCCGACTGTTCTGGTCTTTCTTTTTGCCTATGTTATCGACTTCTCTCAATCGGGGGCAATTCTATGAAACGAAGTGTCAAGCCTCGGAATGTCTCAGTTCCCGTAGAATTCAAGTTCGTTCCTTTGTACCGCAAAATCCATATTTGATTTGAGGTCTACGACAAAAGTTGTTCGAGTCTGCTAAAAAGCTACATGAAATTGTACGATTAAATGCCTTATAGCATATTCCAGAATATGTTCACTGGTATGACGGACAAGCTCCCAAAAAGTGGCTTGACATTTAAATGGGGACGCAGTTAAGCGAGGTCATGAATGCAACCCCGATTACCAGTAACGAAGGCTGTGGAAAAAATCGCTCTCGCTTAGTGGAGATGAAACCCAGTTTTGGAGCGATATAAAGCTGGATGACTCGACCCACCATATCCAATTTCGGTAGGAGGAGTGCAAATATCAACGGCAAATAATTGGCTTGGAGAACTATCATTTCCATAGAATCTGTTGAACTAAGCGTTTGAGCATGCACCAACGCCGACATCCCACCAGTGTCTTAGACACGAGAGCATATTCTAAATCTTGACCAGTATGTGCATAAGAGGAGGCCTCGTAGCAGCCGACTTTGGGCGTCCAGATGACGATGCAGGATGATCTGCGGAGAAAGCCAACATGATGATCACACAACATGTCTGTTGTCAAGTGGTGTCCAACCGAATACGGTGGCTACCCGATGGGTTGGCATAGAGTCAGCACTTCAATGCAAATAGCAGCCAAAAAGACTCCAAGATGCTTGAGGGGTTAACCAAAAAGACGATGCAAGGTATAGCATATCCCAGCCTTCTTTTCATGTGTCTTGCGAAGTCACACCCTCAGATAGCATGCCGGGGGCAACGGTATCTCACGTGCTTCAGGATGCCTGCTTTTCCAAGAGCGAAAACTCGCCCGCCACGGGTACGTTCCCACTGCACATGACTCATCGCTGCGTGAACGGTGCAGATGTGCACGCGACGAGCGGCAACATCCGGACCGGCAGTGCTACAGACAGGCGCGGCGGCGGCGGCGGCGAACTCGAGCATCGATCACGGCAGGCGTGTGCGTGCGTGCATGCGCGCACGCGCGGCGCAAGTCGCAACAGCCGACGTCCTGGATGTCCACGTCGCGTGTGTCGGAAGAGTGTACTTACGAGGCGCGTCCTTGGGGGAGTCTCGGCAACAACGGTACCCCCGCTTGGGTCTTAAACGCGATAAATTAAGCTCTACTGCTTAGATGGCTTTGGCTGTTCACTAATAGTCGGGCCCACACGGGCGGCGAATCGCACACACATCCGCACTTCCTTTGGTGTCGAAACAAGCACATCTGTGTCCTGTTCAACTGGCCTCACTTCGTGGGTGTAAGTAATCACACTTCGTTATCAGCTGGGATCCGCTAAATGCCTTTGCGCATGCAGTAACTACCATTCTTTCAAGAGGTTTGATTAGGTAAACACCACTTTTCCTGAAACCAACAAATAGTTATTGAGACTGTCAGCTGTCGGTGCAGAAAAATCCAAACAATGGTCCTTTCAAGATATTAAGGGGGCAGGAAATAAGATCCTGGTAATTACTTAATTTCAACTTAGACTGGAGAAGTCTAGTGCCAAATTTGAAAGAAAAACAGGCGTAGGTTTCTTGCAGTGATTTGATGGCTGTCACCCCAAGTTGACCCGATGTGATACGATATCATAAATTCTCCAATGGAGTGAACCCGTTAAAATAATTACCACGTAGTTAAAGTGTCACCAAGATGCAAGTCCCTGGCAATGCGATAAATCCCAATCTAAAACATATCTTCACTGCGATAATACTACGCGCGAAAGTCGAAAAAGCATTTTTCGCTTTCTCTTCTCGTCCAGACTGAACACCTCACGTCAAAAGCCCGCCCAGCCCCACAAGGTTCGACCAATTGTGATGTCGGTATGACAACCGCTAATTCCGAGAAAAAGTACATAAGGCAGTAAGAAACCTAGAGGTAATGACTCATGAAGGAAGCATGACGACTAGTTAATGCCCTTTCGCGTCAAAGTGGTGCTTTGTGTCCGGCAACCGTAAGGAACATCACCACACAAATCCATGGTACACTACTAATGTTAGGAACCTCCATAAAACCTGCATAAAACTAACATAGGTGACGGCTAACCGATAAACGTAAACAACTTGCTTTAAATGAATGTATTTAAGCCAAAGGAAGAAATCTTTGGACGCAAGGCGTACTGAGCCAAAGTGCTGATGCGAACGTCTGATTACTACGACACTGAGCAGAGACTACCGGCAATGTTGCAAAATAATTTCGATAAGGAAAATGCGAAACCCTCGCATTCAGTGACGATGTTGCGTTCATTGCTCAACGGTCTTAGTATTGAGTGTCCCAAGGGGCCCTATAGGCCATGTTAATCGGTTAGATCGCTCGGGATGCAGGAATCAATTGCTCAGACTCGTAAGTGTTAAACTGCTTTTAAAGATTCGAGTTCTAGTACCGTAGTTACCTTGTCTTCAGGACAAATTCTAATTCGGTTGGATGTAATGGAAGTTCAACGACAAAACGGTGCTTAACTAAATTTTTATGTTTTAGCCGAACTTCCCAGAAGCATTGACATTTCCTGTACAAAAGAGATTGGCCTTTGTCATTAAAATGCGTATGTACGCGGCCCCTTGTTGGTCATGCAAGAAAGCCTTAGGTCCTGCGCGGATAAATGAGAAGGTGCTGGTAGAGTGGGAGGTTCCTGTTATGCCTGAAGGTGGTGCATACCAGGGGCACGATGCACAGAAAACACATACTTTTTAACAAAAAAATATGGCTTATAGGTTATTTTGTTTAAAACACCAGAAGATTGAAAATCTGGACTCGCATGCTGGACCCTTCAGCAATAAAAACAAAACGAGCACATCTCCAGACGCCAAATCAAGTCAAAATTGTACTGGAGTAGTTCAAAATGCAATATAAAAGTGTAAGAAAGTTTGGATTAAAACAAACTCATTAACTATGATGATGGGTAGTTTAACGAGATCTCCAAAGAAAAGAATTCACGTTATTGAGCAATGAGATAAAAATTTTCAGGCAAGTAAACTCAAACAAGCTCACACCCGACCTGGAGGGGCTCGCCGATTGCACACCTAGAGACCTGCCGATGAAAACGGTGGTAAAAAGCTGAGGTATACTAATGGAAAAAGTCGAGCATTTTGCGCATGCTTCCTCACAATATCTCGGTTGAAAGTCGAGCAAAAATACGGCTATTTAGAAGGAGGTGGTTTTAATAAGCTATTTAAAAAGAAAAATGACAGCGAGAATGAGAAAGAAGCCCCAAAGCCTTTTTATGATTTTTAGCGTGGACTGGTGCGTGAATTTCGGTGGCTCGTAACTTTGTCGATGAAACTGAGAACGAGGTGATTAGTGTTTGCGTAAATACCTCAGAAGAACATGTTTGAGGGGCTTAACAGTTCGGATTGACAACCATTAGGCCAATCACTTCTGTTTAGGCCTTTTGATGGCAGCATCGATGGTGCCGCGTGTGGGGAGGGCGCGCCGCAGTTTTGCACACAACGAATGACTGAAACGGTTTACGAAACGTCGCGTACTCCGAGGCCACGTCCTTATTCATAAATGGAAATATGCAGAATAATTTTTTACGCAAAAATTTTGTAAATTTAGAAGTTTTGCGGAATAACGAAGTCCTAGCTTAAAAAATGAACATGTCTATGATTTTTATCAGGCCCCTGGAATTAATTGTTACAAGAGGTAAGTGTGTACAAACCAGTCAACAAGCCCGTAGTAGTGGGCAGCTGTTTGGAATTTTGTGTTGGAGATAGTGAAGAACTGAGGCTAATCGGACTTCGCGATCATCGAGGACGCCCTCTTAGTTCAAGATGTACATATATTAAGACAAATTGAACACCTTTAAAAAAATTCAAAGGCGCGCTTAGCAACTTTTTCCAGTTAAACTAATCAGACATTGACTCCCCTTTACTCCTAAGTTCTTTACAGGGCTATCAAGCAATTTGAGAGCCATTGCTCATTAGGTAGCGTATTGTGGCGCTTCGCGCAATCCCTTATCAGCAAAGAGAGATGCTTGTGAATTTTCAACTGTTCGAGCTAATCACAACTCAGACCACCGAAACAGAAGGCAGAGTTTACGTTGACATTCTAGCAAAGCAAACGTTAGTCCAGAATAGAGGCACAATGTCCACGTGTTAGAAAAGAATCCACAAGTCTAGGTATGTATTAGGATAGCACCGACCACGATATGAGATAAATCACAAAATCGAAATCTCAGGTATTTTAAGAGAAATCTATTTTATCGTTAAGTCATTTCCAGGTTAATTAGGCTGCATGTTCTTATCTCCGCCCCGAACATATGGGTAAAGTAGGGTTACGAGCAAAGGGAGATGGTTTACTAGTAAAGCTGCAGTAGAATAAGGTATATGGGCAATAACTGAGGGCACTAATTTGGAGTGACCAAATTGGTGCACGTAAAGCAGATTTTGAGAAGCCACCAAAGTACTGGATCATAAGCTTGTGTAGAAACATGCAAAGCCAAAACCAAAACACACAAAGGAAACAATTGGGGCGATTAAAAGTGCAGAAACCAACACAAACCATTTTGAAATGGCGAGAGGCCACCTGCCAGGCGATCACTCCCAATGGAGTTCCGATTGAGATCGCTTGCCCCAGCGGTTGCCTCCCTGGCCATTCGACCAGCATGAGCAAAGGCATCCTCCACGGCTAGGAGAAGACGCATTCGACGCTTGCGGACCCGCTTCTCGGCCTCTATCTCGTCGTAAAGACGGGCAGACGCAGACGGTCCATTTCCACCTCCTCCGCTCTGAAGGAACCAATGAAACCCAAACTCAGCTTTTAACGCAACTATCGAACGACAAGTCAATTTCGTTATTGGGACATATATAGAAAACAGTTATTGTTGTAAGTTGAAACAAGATCTACGAAAGTAATATTTCACTAAATCTGACATAGTCGCCTCTGGTAGTAGTTGAAGAGTGGAAAGTTCTATCTGCACGGCATATTGAAAAAGTGGAGTTAAACCAAATAGATGGACTGATTAGCGACGCATAACTTAGTGTAACAACGGTTAACTCTCGCGTGAGACCGAACAGCATGGCACCGGAAAAGCTTTGTTATCCTACCGATTTGGGAGAACGGGGTGATTACTCGCTTGAATTTTGGACAGCTTGAACACATTTCGATCAGGATTTTGCAACTGCCGACGAAAGGAAGCCCAAAGTAGTGAACTCATGAAGAGGCCCTTAAGATGGAGCATACGTGTCATACACGAATAGGATTAACGCAACTTCGTTGTGGCCATGTATCAGAGATACAGTGACAAAGCCATCGGAAACAATAAGATGGAAGAACTGTAGCATTTTTGAAGAACTTAGTAACATCACTCATATATATTGGTAAGAAACACAACGATAGCAAAATGAGGAAATAAGTTAGGCCTATCTCACGCAATTCGATTGAAAAATTAGGTTCGTATCATCGATTTATGAAACAGTAAAAGATCGGGTACCGCACCGGTATTGCAAGCAATTAGTGCACTTGAAGTGACTCAGAAGGGGGAGCAGTAACTGAAAGCTCACCGTCTGGTTACCGCCAGGAGTCTGCGTTCCACTTTTGTCACGACCATCAACGTCGTAAAACTTGTATTTTGAGCCACCAACATCGCCACCGCCTGCGTTGTTTGTGCCGTTTCCAGCATCACCACCATGTGTTGCAGAACCCCCGCGTTTGTTTCTACGGCTACCCGAGGAGAGAGGTTGCGTGTAAACCTACAAATAGAGCGGATGGTCAAATATTCCACTCGCTGCATATGGCCGATTTTACGTGAGCACCACGACATGTGCCCTCCACTGTGAGAGGTCTGGCTGACCGAAGTCAATGAAGGCATATAAAGCATATGATGAAAGTGATGACTAGTGTCGTTAACCACTGATTGGCTCCCTCTTCGATAAATGCATCTTCATCTTATCAACACAGTACAAAAACACAAACTCATGCAATTCGAGCTGAAATCTTCATATTATAGTTAAGTAGCACTAAAATAAAACTCCGAAAACCAAAATAATTTGCATCTCAACCTACTAACCAAGGATGTACATATTGTAGGATGACCAAAATTATTATTTTTACTGCATTACTTAAGGTGGAGAATAGGTTAAATATTAACCGCTAAGAAAAATCATTAGTTGCCAAATTCGTTGGACAACTAACAGACAAGGGTAATATTCGAAGTTGGCTGCAGTGATAACGCACTTCCAGGTTCAAAACCTAACTGACACACTAATTCGCAAGCGTCAAACTTCATTTGGAGGGGTTCTTGAACGTTCTGCTTCCTCGTCTATTCGTTCACCGAAAATTGACGCTGATAAAGTCACGGGAAATCGAACACTTTAAACCTTAGGGTATGTGTTGCAAGAAGTTTCTGGAATTACGGGAAATTTATAGCCGCTATAATTAAGTAGGCATCATCGAGGAACTCTTAATCATGAATTTTAGACACGGGTACCATATCGGCTAACAGCGCGGTTAATGAGTTTGGCTTACCGTTACATAAACAGGATTACTTTCCTTGTTTGATGCTTAATTAACCAGACTGGACAACCCGACTTCATTAGTCGCAAGTACAATTACGCCATCGTTTTATTCCCTCAAACTAATGCCAACTGAATACAAAAGGTTGGTATATATCGACTGATAGCTGCCAAGAAGATTCCAGTTAGATACGAATCAACAAGCGAAGTAGAACAGGAAATTTCGGAGAACTTACGGTAAAATCAACCATATACATCTGCAAAATCTCAAGTGCCGCCTTTTGCAGGGACATATCTCCTAGTCTATAGGTTTTTGAAGCACCATCGGGAGACCTGACTACATGAACTGCATAGTGAGATCTCAGCCGTTGAAATTCCAAAAGAGCAATGCCAGAGAAATTCAGGAAAAGTAAAGCATCTGACAAGCTTTTAGAAAATAAAACAATAGATCCATAGTCTCGTCTCCGTGGTTGGAGGATACGTACACTATAGAACAGCCAAAATGCGAACAGAATGACAAAAATGAGGCAGAGAAAGAGACTTCGCCATAGTCTCACCCTTGGAAGAACCTTACGACCACCAGTAAAAATAGGACAATGAGGAGCCATTAAGATCCAAGTCCCCAGACTCAATAATGCCAATTTCACTGCCATCCCAATAAGATGACCCTCACATGTATGATCACACTTATCCGTAGTCCAGCCAATATATGGTAGATATGGAAATATAACCATAAGAACAGGAGAACAGACTGAACAAAATCCAAGACCAAAATACACTAGAAATCCAAGCAGTCGAGTGCATGCATACGTCTGAAAATCATCAATTTCTGTTCGGATCAAAGCTGCAGCAGCTCCACCAATACATGAGTTAGGGCTGTTGTTAATCCCCAATGAAGCTAAAAGGCCATAACGAGCTCCGAAACGAGACAAATTGTCTGCACTCAATCCGGTCTCGCTTGTAGCCCCAGTAACAGCCGTAGCATTCTCCACCCACGCATTTTCGTCATGGCCGTACTGATCAATCTGCTGAGTTCCGCCTCTGTTACTAGAAGCCGGAGTGTGGGCATGCGATATCTTTTGGGCAACACCACTCGTGTCTATTGGAATAAGGGGCTGATTTGACTGACTCTGAGGGTAGGACTGATTTGACGAAGGAGCAAGTGGTTGCATGGGAAAGGCTGATGAAGGCTGGCAACCAGCCATTTGCGGAGGTCCAGACCATCCCATCATGTTCATGCACTGTTGGGAAGGAAACATAGTCGGGGAGGCATAAGGGAGAAATGGTTGATTGGTCGGTGGTTGGGGAGTGTTCCAGCTAGAATTAAAACCGGGATGTTGTGAAACAGATGGACCTTGATGTGGGAACATCTGAGCTTGCCCGATAGGCATGCCACGGCTATGCATTTCAGAATGGCCTCGATTACCTTCTCCTGGAAAGGCACAGGCCGAGGGTACATGTGGTGGGAAGTTCATTTGTTGTCTGGGATCACAGCCTTGGACTGGAAAGTTCTGGAGCACAGTTTGCTGTTGAGTAAGACTACTCTTTTCACTTCTGGCGCTGACAACACTGTCTTGGTCCATTAATACGTTAGCTGTGACGTCGTAAATCCAAACGCTAATAAAATCATGTGATGGGAGCTTAAAATCCTTTCAGCAAAAAGCCGATTAGGTTGTTATTAGTGATTAACTTCAAAGAAGGCAACCTTGGTTTGAAATTACTCCAAGTGACGTAACCCAAAGAGTGAAAACCACTTCAATTACCCAGCACCATCAAAGAGGACATCAGCCGAGTCGAAATACTTTCTTCAATGTAAGTTTACCAAATTCATGCAATAAAACAAACACGAGTTAATATTTATAAGAATCTGCAAAGTTTCCATAAAAAATATATTAAAATAACTATGTGATTAAAAAATTAGTGCCTATAGACAATCAATGATAATGGCAGGTGGTGTTCCACCTTTTCATAAGATATTACCGTCATACAAATTTAACATTGTTAAAAATGAATGAGTTGTATTACGAGGCTGTATTCAAACATTAAACAAATACTCAAACAGTGTACTTTTTAATGTGTAGATAGCTTGTCCCGACTATTAATGTACATAGATTTGTTTAAAAAAATGGCATTTCGAATGGATTACACGTTGACGAATTATTCGATTTCACCACACTCGTTAATAATAAGTAATATACATTACAGCCTTTTTAGACATTGCACTTTTCAACTAAAACAGCTGTTTTAATCTTTCTTATTTTTATATACTGGACAAATATCGTAGAAATTCTTCCTAACTGAACTATGCATTACTTTGTCACCTTTCAGTGAACGACTGCATAATCGAATGTAGAATGAGATTTAAAAAAAAAACCTTGTAATTGAGGCTTATACTTGTGCATGATTTATTGCGTTCATTGCTACAGACGTCTAGGCTTTGGTATTTTTTGTATATTGAGTTTAAAAATCGTTCAGTTAACTTAGAGCCCTAAAAATATGTATTTGTTGTGGCGAACACCAAGCATCCACAGTAATCGTGAGCTAAATCTAGTAACAAACGTGAGCGAACATGATTCAATTGATTTACGTGAATGAGCCTCGCGTAACTGTTTTCGTTTAGAGGTTGATGTATAGCCTATCCTGTATAAACTAACTTGCTCTCTAGTGCACACATTCCTCTACCGCTTTAACAAATCATTTGACCAACTCGCACCTGCATTTCCGACTCCTTTCTCTCGATCGGGCCGTGTCACGCTTATTGTCGGCTCTGGTGTGGTTTCCAAAACCGCACTGGGGCACGCCATAGCGTCTTTTGTTTACAAAAAGTTGTGATAACTAGTCTTTTGGGAAATGGAGTTTAATCAAAACCGATAAGTTTGACAGTTCTGAGAGTAAACGATATAAAATATACCATTTTTCTAGTCAAGAAACAGCCCTTACCTATCTTAGAAACCACTTATCCCAATTCAAACCACTATGGAAGTATTTTATCTATCGGTTTTTTTATCAGTTATTGAAGTTGTAGATTTCGCCATGCTTCAAGGACGCAAACGATGAAAACTTGAGTTGGCAGCTTAAACACGGAAGGTCAGGTGATGCTTACCAATGAGCTACTGGAAATAGTCCGACTGCGAATAACTAACTCCCTTGTTTGTTTTTTAAGGCTAATGACTACTCGACGAGCTACGCACAAAAACAGCTGGTATTCTGGAAGCAGTAGGCAATAAAAGTGATGCATCACTTTTTTAGGAGATGAATTGAATGAGCAATTGTCTGGCTGGCTCAACAAGGCTTCTTTTACTCATGGGCCAGCCAGGGCAATAATTTCCCCGTATGTTTTCCTTTGACAATTATTTTTAGTCACGCTGGTTACTTTTACTCAGGAGCATGTGCCGCACATGCTTACAAGCAAATTAATCCTGATTTAGTGTAAGCAGTAAAACTGAAGATTAATTTCCTTGTAGAAAACGATATTTTGTTTTCGGTCCGTCACATCACTTTTACCTTGATACTTGTGCAATACCGTCTGCTGATTATTTCGAAACACCGTTATTTAATCTGCGTATGGATACTGAAGGTATGATTAGAATATTTACTAATGCTTAAGTCCGAAAAAATCTCATGAAAACCGGAAAGTTTGATATTCTTGAAACGAATCATGATGAAGAAGAGCACTCAATTGAAATGCAGTTCCCATACATTGCCAAAATTATGGAGGCGTAAGTTAGACCTAATGAGCTGTTTTACTGATAGTAGTAGTATCCATTTAATCTACTTTACCAACTTGTTTGGATTTTGCTATGTGGTTGTCGATCTGATTCCGTTGTATAGCTGTGAATTTTTAATTTTCGTTTTAGTCACGCTGAAAACTTTACCGTTATACCCGTTTTGGTCGGCAGTTTGTCTTTTTCAAAAGAAAAATTATTTGGGGAGATATTCTCCCCTTATCTTTCTGATCCTGCCACTGTCTTTGTGATATCTTCTGATTTCTGTCATTGGGGTAAGACTTGCCCGATGAATTATTGTTTTTACTTAATTTGTCACTATCAAGGCCCCTAAGCCAATCGATTTCCACAAACTCAAATGTCTGTTTCTGGCTTATTACATCTAGTATAGGAACATTTGACCATGACCAGCAATATTGCAATTCAACTTCGCGCTTAATGTGTCTTAATTGAATCTTGTCTAATCTGTGTTATGCACAAGCTCTTTATCCAAGTGCTTTCCGAATAGGTATTACAATGGACTAATACGTCTCAGCAACAAGAGTTCGTACTAACGTGTCTCTAAATTCCCATAGGGTGTAGATGTTGCTGTCAGAGCCTTGGGTAGTAGTATCAAATGTTAATTCAGTGGGTCGTAAAATGCTTGTAAGCTGGTGTTCAATTCTACGAGGTTGGCGCTATAATCCTTTACCTGTCTCCTCAGTAGCATTGAGTAGCAGTGCATTTCTCTTTCAATGCTACTTTTCGTCTATAGGGCTGTTTACATCACTTTTGTTTAGTGTAATTTGTTTGCTGCAATATTGTAGGCGATCGTTTCAGCTACACATACTACGATCAAAGCCTTGGCGAAATCTGGAAATCGATTAGGGATCTGGATCATAAGGTTAGTTATTTTTTTCCTGTTTTTATCACAACACTGTTTAAACACCGTGGTGCGTAAATTATACTAACGTCTATGAAAAGGTTGTCATTTATAGCTCAACTCTGACCAATCTTGTGTAAAGCGTAAACGTTAGTTTCTACGAACAACGCCGCCCTGGCAGCATAGAGTAGAATGAAAACACGGTAGCGCTTCCCGTCTTTCAAACAAATACAGAGTATGTTTTGCAACGTATACGTCGCTTTCGATTACCTACTACTGCATATTACTTATCATCGCCCAGATCTTGTAATTTTTTTCTCAGGGTATGGAATTGATTGAGAAACTGGATACATTGGGCTTTCACACATATTTAAAGGACTACCGAAATACCATTTGTGGCCGCCACCCGATTGGCGTGTTGTTACACGCTATTGACGCCCTCAAGTCAACAACTCTGGAACAACCCACCCTCAAGTTTGTGCAGTACGCTCAGTCGAGCAAATGTCGCAGCCAGCGTGATTCCTCGGTTAGCTATGCATCCGCCTCCCTGGTTTTCAATTAGTTTATCTAAATTAATCCCTTTTGTATTGTTTTCCCTCACTTAAACACTCGTTCACTTTTACCCATGTTAGAAACATTCACGAAAGTCATTCATACTCTCCTCACATTGAAAGTGTCCGTTTCGTTCATGGTCCTCACTAGCTTGGCTGGGCTTAATAACGTGGGGATGCAGGTAACTTGTGCAAGTCTGCGCTGATATTAAACCTGTCAGACCCCAACAGTACGAGGTCGAAGCGCCTTCAACATCTACACATTAACATTTCAATAAATATAGAAATTTAATAGGCACTGAATTGGAACGCATTAGACTAAATAAATTTATGGCCAAAATGCACTGCAGGATATCATATTTTTAGTCGATTTTATGAAAAAGGACAAATCTATCCTTTGAGTGTATCCTTAACAAGTGAATTGTGCGATTTACTTTTGAAGTTAGAAGTTGCAATATTTCAACCGCGTGGACGATAGCCCGTGCTAAACTAAAAGAACAATATTCGGTCAAGGATAAAAATAAGCATGGGTCATGAAATCGAACGTCACTTGCACTAGGTGGTAGCTAACCCTAATTCATTAAAAACAGACTAAGTGCAAGCATTTAAGTAATCCACTCGACGAAAAAGAGCATTCGTCGGACCACCTGGCCGCAGCCAATCCTGTGTCTCTGTGTTCCAATGGCATGCGAGGAAGATAAGCAGCCAACCAGAGAAGGACACGACTGAGGAGGAGTATATAATAAGCGGCGTGGTGGACTCGGATGGAAAGCGCCTGACGTGTGGCTCTGGCTCGTGATTGGTCAATAAAGCCTGTTCTGTTGTACCAGTCTTTTCCTATCAGGGCTCGGGTATCCTACATTGGTGGCAGCGGATGCGTTCGAATAACGCAAATCGAACCCCAGCCCTTTCCCCACAATGGACAACAGAGGCAAAGACCCTTAGATGCCAGCTGGAGTTGTCATGGCGGTCATCCGATGTTCAATAAACTGGATCCATAGACATTGCCCGGGATTAGGACTACTGCATCTGAAGAGACATTGGCAACTTAGCAACGACGTCTTGAACAGTAAAAGCCAGCTGGACTGCATCTGCGAATGGACCTACGATGGATGAAGCGTCCTTCCTGCAAGTCTACAAGAGCAAAGTCCCTCGTCAACTATTCGCATGGGCCACTATCCTGTCAGATGTAGGGTGCGGGGAGTGTCGAACTGGATATTTTATGGACACTGGAGATCAACAACAGTGCGGTGAACCAAGACAGAAGCTGAGGACAGCTTCACTCCTGAGGGGGAGGCATACGAGGAAGTTAAGCAGCCAACCAGATAAGGGCACGATTGAGGAGCAGTATAAAATGAGCGGCGTGGCCAGCGTGGTGGACTCGGATGGAAGGTGCCTTACGTGTGGTTCTCGGCTTGTGATTGGTCAATAAAGTCTGTTCTGTTGTACCACGCTTATTCATACTTGGGCTCGGATATTCTACACTAGTATAGTGTAGCGACGCAGACATAAAGGACCACTCTGGCCTCAGCCAATCCTCTCCTTGTTTAAATGGCATTCAAGGAAAATAGGTAGCCAACCAGAGACAGACACGTTTGTGAAGTGGTATATAATGAGCAGGGTAGCCAGTGTGGCCGACTCGGATGGACGGAGCCTGACATGTGGCCCTGACTTTTCATTGGTCCGTCAAGCAAATAAAGACAATGACGCTTCTCTGACTGAAATCGACCCATGACATTTAAAATCGAGTACACAAGTACATTAGTGATTTTTGATTAATAACACTGACGGTATTTAACTTAGCCTTCTGTGCAATATAGGGCGTCTACGTGTAATTTTTGTAACTAGGTAAAATAAAGGAAAAGTAATTTAACGGATATTTGACCTTCAGAAAATTGAGCAAACAAGTTAGCAAGAGAATTTTCCTTCTCTTGCACACATTTAAACAAATAGCTGAACAATAGGGTCTACTGTTTCTTTTCTGTCACAAGATTTCCACAAAAAGTAACGGCAATGTATTGTGTTATCCTTAAGTTGCGATAAAAAAGCCAGATTTAAATCTAACATTAAGCTAGTAATTGGTCATATGATGCAAGAAAACAAAATTTATTCTATTTCAGCTTTTCCGATTGATTTATCCCATTTTGCTATTTGTCCACAACCATGTTATTTTAAAAGGGCATTCCTATGAAATTATGGTAAAAGCACATTGGCATTAGTTTTTGTTCGAGTCAATGGGAAACAGCGAATGATGATGGAACTGGCACTTTATACAATCTTATGTGTTTTAAGAATTTTCACTACAGGAATGATTGACTGCACTGTAGAGGCGTTTACTTTTTTTAGTAGGTGTAATGCGTGAGAAGGGGTTTGGTTTAAGAAGAGTGACGGATTACCCATGGACCGTAGGAGAGACGTTATCCCGACAAGCACACAGGGCATAACACGGACGAAGAATGATAAATTCTAAAAGGACTTATTCAGAGAACGTTTATAAGGCAAAAGAATGAAGAGAGAGCCACTTTGTTGATATATTTCGGAAGAAATTTTAAAATCCATATTATAGCAATTAGGCAGACCTAAAAGAGTAAAAATGTAGAAAGAAGTTACCAGGTATGAGTGATGTTCAATGGCATGGAAGATGGCTTGCGTGCCACATGGCACTTTTGCATGAGCATCAGATGCATTGCGATTAAATTTAAAACAAATGGACGCCTTCTGCAGTATCTTTTTTCAATTAGTCTGTCTGTTGTACAAAATTGCCGTAGTTACTTTTAAACCTTTGGATTCAAATCCAACAACAACGCTTTATCCGCTTTGTACATTGAAAATTTTTCATGGAAGGGTATTTTATGCGAATGCCACATCCGCCAAGCATTTCTAGCGAATGCTGCCGATTCAAGACCGTCACCCTGGTTGCCGCATGCACCGTTGTTCTTATCATAGCGCCACCATTAGTTATTCGAAATCATCTTCTAACACTTATCCCTCCTGCTATCATTTAATTAGATCGACCATTCAGCCATTTTTCTTTAACTAGTTCGTTCAAATTTTATGGGTTAACAGCCACATTAATTATGCGCTACTTGGAATCCACAAACACAACACAACCAGATTGGATTTTCTACTAAATAGCCATGTTCTTGCCATTTCTGGTCTTCCTGGTTTTTTCATGTGTAAGTGAACTGTGAAAACGACCCTGGTTACGTTCAATGCAGCTAATTGAAGCATTCGACACGTTAATCGAGGTCTTTGTGAATCGTGTTGATTTACACTCTCTAATCTCAATCCTCCAACCTTCAACAAAGCGTTCTCCTTTTCACAGCATCTTACCAACCGCACGGATCCGGAACTCCTCCTCATTCGCACGAATACTTGTCTTAGATTATCCTCACACATAGGTCTTGATATTAGCTCATCTATGACTGATACATCTAAGCTATAAATATGCGCGCAAATTCCGACTGCACACACACAACGACGACCTCGTCAAGTCCTCGAATTAAAGGTTGACTCTGTCCTTCCGCAGATTTCATCCTAGCTGGGTAGCTAGTGGTATACCGCGTCGCAACAAGCCTTTGCAAGTTTTCTGCTATATTTAACAACTTAATGACTCGAGATGTTTGTACATTAACAGGCTTATTACACTTGGACATGTGGCAGTTGTTCATGTTATTACGCTTTTTTATGTCGCGTTGTGTCCACTGTTACCTCATTTGTGTGTTTATTTATCCATTGCAGGAGGCATGGAGGATAGTATAGACCCATCTTGATCTTCCACAAAATTTTTGAAGCACCTGGCTGTCCAAAAGTTGCAAGGACCACAAAATTACCTGCAACTCCTGAATTCAGATCTCAAATAATAACTAATCACTGTTTGGGGTTTTGACATGTAATACTACCTTCTAGAACTACATTTTTTAATACTAGCCCAGTGTTGTGACATTTTATTTACATGAGTAAGGTGGATCGACTAATAAATGAAAACTCCTTAACAAGTGCAGTGACCTTGAGAGAGCATTCACATGGAACACTTGGCTAATATCACAAACTGCAGATATTTCTGCACTATATAACGCAAAACTCTCTGTAGCCACAGTTATTAGGCTAAAAACGGTCCTTAGCATAATTTGGACTTCAGGTTTGGGGGAAAATGTGTCTGGTCAGCTATGGAAAAGTGCACAACAGAAGAGCTTTTTCATTTATTTATGGTTACCAAATTACGAAAAATCTCGTCGAAATGCATTCATGCTTAGGTTTTGTAATTAGTTATAATTTACAAGTAGTTTTGCTGCATTTGACTCCTATTTACCAAGGTTAAGTCATGAGAGACGAAAAGCCAATATCACAAGTTTGACATGTCAGATATTCGGGAACTTTTTAGTAACAAGCTTTAATGCAAAACAAACAATTTAACTGTTCTGCTGCATTTATATTATTAGATCAAATCATTTCATGTCTTTAATGATTTTTCATGTTACACAGCCTCGTTAAAATTTATTGCGCATACTTAGAGTAATTATTAAACCCACGATTAAGAGGATTTTAAAAGCCGCTCATAATATCTAGTCTCAAAGGGAATTTTATTTATTCACTCGTATTTAATGGGATCTTCTTCTCCGCCAAAATATGCAACGGCTGTTTATTTAGCTGTCGTGCTATGGACTGCTTTTTGGATAAATTGACGCTCATAAGAGTATGAAAATCTGCCTTAAGGTGTCAAAATTGACAGAAATTGATGACTTTGCTACAGCTTTAATTTTTGCTTCAACGCGAATAAGAGAAAAATTAATACTATTGGCTAGACTAGAAGGTTTCGCTGATAAAGTTAAATGGTAGCTGGAAGCAAGTAATTATTCTGCAGTATTATCAGGACAATCGCTAAAGCTTACTAAGAGGATGTAGTCATAAGAATTTTTAAAGTGCGTGTCAACAGAAAGCAATCAATTTCGGTGTCGCCTCAGTCAATTGCATTTGATTTTCAGCAGCAAATGATTCATTTATGTCTAACACCTATATTTTTAAATCACATAAATCGTAAGCACAAATTCTAATTTTGAGTTAACTTCATTTTAAACAGAAGTCTGTTTAAAGCGATGAATCATCATGATTTTTCAAAAATGTATATGATCAACTTTAATTTGATGTCCTATATTATCATAAATAATAGGATTATAATCTTTACAAACCGAATTAATAAACATGACCGTAAATGCAGTGTGTTTTATCTAACATTTCGCTCGCGTGTGACTATGCGACATTATACAATAATCATTTATTAAATGCTTCCTAGTTTACATGTAATCAAAAATCATTTTTCATATAAGCCATGGTTTTTATTTGAGAGCGGCCACTAGTCAGCTCTTTGCATTTTTCATTTGAAAACAATTCGGTACCTTTAGAGCTTCCGCGACAAAAAATATTTGACTTGCCAGTGATGATTGGCGCTGCTTGAATAATTTCGTAGGATTAAGTAGCACAAAATTACTGAGCAGTAAGGCAGTTATTCTCATTACGACTAGTCTAGTAAAGTGCAACAGGCTTTGCAATTTTGCAAACTGACTACGGGATGGTTGAGCGTTCGCTTTTTACTGCATACTTACTTTTTGCACAGTCTTAGAGCCTTACAGTACCACTTTTTGCTGTATTAACAATAATAAAAGTTTAATAGATACAGATGTACCCTACAAATAGCTTTAACTTCCACAAAATAGTTATGCTAGACTGCTTTTAATTCTGCGAAATTTGGATATAAGCTTCACGATGATTGATGCTATTAATATTGTATGCGTTCTCTTGTGTTATTCGACTTTTTAGGCCTCAGAGAACTTGCCGTTCGAAGAAAATTTAATTAAAAATCCGTACAATGTTAAGGCTTGGTTGAGATATGTACAGTTTCAAAAATCAAGTTCGCCCCAGATTCTGTACGTAACTTTTGAGAGAGCGCTAAGGCAACTACCTGGGAGGTTGGTTTTTTTAATTCTAACTGTTAGTTATAAATTGTGGTATAACTACCTAAAACTGCGCCGCCAGCATGCGAGGAGAATGTGTCCTGGTAGTTTGATTTATGAGGAAACAAATAATGCACACGAACGGGCGCTTGTTACGATGCACAAGGTAAATACGGTCTAGCATTTTAATGTTTACCGTAGATGCCGCGTATTTGGACGGATTATCTTCAGTTTCTTATGTTTCAAGGCTACATTACATTGACGCGTCGCACTTTTGATCGTGCTCTGAAGGCATTGCCAATAACACAGCACGAGAGGATTTGGCGAATTTACTTAAGATTTGCTGATAAGCATGGCGCAGCTGTAAATGAAACATGTGCCCGCATTTATAGGCGTTACGTTAAGGTAACATTCCGATTATGTCTCACTTGTAGTTCGCTCCTGACGATGTCGAACGATTTATTAATTTTCTTATCCGCAACGGCAATGTCAACGAAGCTGGCGTGCTTTTGGCAAAGGCGATTAATGATGAAAATTTCGTCAGTCGCGAGGGAAAATCCAAATTCCAATTGTGGCAAGTTTTGTGTGATCTTCTTGTGAAGAATCCAACCAAAATACACTCGTTGGACGCCGACGCTATCATAAGACAAGGGATCAGTCGCTACACAGACCAAGTGAGTATCTATTTCATAGACTGGTTATTGCCGTCAATATGTGTTCTTGGAACATTTCAAACAATTTTAGGTTGGAATATTGTGGACATCACTCGCTGATTTCTATATTAGAAGTGGAAACCTCCCCCGAGCCAGGGATGTGTATGCCGAAGCTATTACGACTGTGATAACTGTCCGTGATTTCAGCCAAACTTTCGATGCTTATGCAGAGTTTGAAGAATCGATAGCTAAAGCTCGCATGGATGCTCTCGAAAAATCTCCGAGCATAACCGAAACGGGTTGGTCTTAGCGTTGCCCAATGACTTAACATATATTATTTTACTTTGTTATTAACCTTTATGTTAATTTTTTTATGAAAGATGAACTGGAGGTAGAACTCTGCTTGGCGCGGCTGGAAGCTTTAATGGAGCGTCGTCCTCTTCTGTTGAACAGCGTTCTCCTAAGACAAAATCCCCATAATGTTAGCGATTGGTTACAGCGCGTCGAACTGCTAGAACCACAGGGACCACGAAAGCAGATAGAAGCTTTCATGGAGGGCATAAGCTCTGTGGACCCAGGTGCTTTAGTTATTACCTTTTTTTACATTTAAAACTTCTTGATAATTAATCTTGAAATTTTTTCTTTAGCCAAGGCAACAGCTGGTCGACCGTCAACTTTATGGATAGAGCTCGCTCGTCTCTACGAAAGACATAATCAGCTTTCAGATGCAAGGATGGTCTTACAAAAGGCAACAGGAGTTGGGTTTGTGCATGTTGAAGATTTGGCTTCTGTTTGGTGTGAGTGGGCTGAGATGGAAATACGACACGGGTGAGAATGCATAATACATTATTAATTTTCGTGTTCATAAGCTCTTGAATTTCATATCGTTCCGTAATTTCGTGAATGCAAAAGATTGTCCCAGAGCTTTTCCTAGACGGTGAAAATAATTTTTTAAAATTTATGTAGAGAAACTGAGACCGCTCTTCAGCTACTTGCTCGGGCTGTCACTCCGGCTGCTTCGCACAAAGTCGATTACTATGATCGCTCGGAACCGGTTCAAAATCGACTTCACAAATCCCTTCGGCTTTGGACCATGTATACTGACCTCGAAGAGAGTTTCGGTACATTCCAGACGACAAAGGCATGTCGCATTCTCATTTTTTTGATTATGCGTCGGATGGAATCTGGTAGCCTTAAGATTCAATTTGCCCTTTTTTAAAGTTGATCGAATTCAAACATTTGTTGCGCGATGGTTTCTACCGTGCTGTGAATCGGGGACAATGTCAGCACAAGCAACCGTCATTTGACATCCGGGTCTTTTCCTTTTATCCTTAGGCTGCTTATGATCGCATGATCGATTATCGAATCGCTACTCCACAGGTTATTATGAACTACGGTCTCTTTCTTGAGGAGCACAATTATTTTGAGGAGGCTTTCAAGGTAAGGCTGTCGTCGATGGCTGTGTCCGCGTCGCACATGGCTAGAATGTTCCATTTGTCTGTTCTTATGTAGGCATACGAAAAGGGAGTGGCCATCTTCCGCTGGCCGAATGTTTTCGATATTTGGGCAACTTACCTCACTAACTTCATGGAACGCTATGTAAGTCAAACCTATTTATACTTTAATCTTGTATGGTGCTGAGACCGAGCCCAAGTTTCACGAAAAGGCCAATTTAGGATGCTATTTTTTTCAATTCATCCTTCAGCGAAGTGGAAACTAGATCCATTCATTCGCCTATGAATGTTTTGCGAAGGTCGTGCTTTTGTTTTTCATTGAATCTGAAGCTTCATTGCATTTGCCTGAATTACTACCACACAAGCACCATGTATGGGACTTCTTGATGAACCTGTAGTTTTTTTGCTTAATACTACATCTCAATCATACACATTCCATGTAAATTTATCCTTCATTTTCAGGGTGGAAGCAAGTTGGAACGAGCTCGAGACCTTTTTGAACAGTGTTTGGAAAAGTGCCCTTCAAAATTTGCTAAACGTAAGCTCGCACCAACTGTACACTGCTCTCTTTTGGCTAGACAAGTTTCTGGACATTGAGATGTTCGTAATTTGATCGGCAAAACAATGTCGACCTAGAGTGTAATATGCTCTAAAATAATCATTCAGATACGTCTGTTATTTTCACCATAATTGCAACCAAATTTTTAGCGTTAGGTTTAGCTGTTGATTTCCGCACTAGCACCCCCCAAGTGCAGATAATTGTGTAAGCTATTAGTTTGACTTTGCTTGTTTTTCAGAATTATACCTACTGTACGCAAAACTGGAAGAGGAACACGGCTTAGCTCGACGTGCAATCAAAATCTATGAACGAGCAACAGAGGCTGTTGAACCGGAGGAGCGATTCACTGTGAGCTTAGTGATGCAGTTTGCATAAATCTTGAATGCATACCTGCTTGTAACCAGCGTTGAGTTAAACTTGTGGAAGAAATTGCATATTTACGTGTTCTCACCGATTTCACTATGCAGATGTTCAATATCTACATCCAACGTATTGCTGATCTCCATGGCGTAACTCATACGCGTGCGGCCTATGAGCAAGCTATTGAGCGGCTGCCAGAGAAACATGCGCGGCAGATGTGTCTCCGCTTTGCTGACTTAGAAAGAAAGCTGGGTGAAGTTGACCGGGCGCGTGCCGTGTACGCTTATGCTGCTCAAATGTGCGACCCCCGGGTAAATGACCCCACAATTATCACTGCATTCAACACCCCATAGCTTGTGTACTTGTATTCCATGGCTAAATTTATGTCTCACCTCCGCTTTTGTAGACTGAGCCGGACTTCTGGAAAATCTGGAAGGAGTTTGAACTTGCTCATGGGAATGAAGATACCTTGCGGGAAATGCTGCGTATCAAGCGCAGTGTGCAGGCCACTTACAACACGAAGGTCAGCTTTATGGCAAGCCATTTGGCCGCCACAAAAGAACAAGGTAAGTTTCTGAAAATTCGGGTTTTAAGTTCAAATCTTAATGCTATATATTACCCCACATATTGCTGTGCTAGATTGTTTTTTTTTACTTAACGTGTAAATCAAACATCTCGTTTTTATAGTCGAAAACCCAATGCAGGTTGTTGAATCAGCTGTTACAGCAGAAGGAACCTCCTCAGCAAATCGGCCGTTAGTTGTCTTTAAATCAGCTGGCATCGTAAATCAAGCAGGTTCAGAAGTTGGGGCCGTTAATAAGGCCACGAGCGAACTGGCTTCCAAAAATCCTGAAGCTATTGACATAGATCTTCCGATGGAAGATGAAAACGAGGACGTCGTCGAAAATGATGAAGAAGGAAAAGAAGCCAAGGTTCTCGAAGACCTTGAGGATGGTTCCAATTCCCGTAGGTTTCAAGTGTAATATATTGTCAAGCCTTGGGAAATCACATTATTAATCTATTTCAATTCTTTAGGTATCCGAATTGAGAAACAACCAGTTCCGCTTGGTGTCTTTGGAAGCCTCAAAGATGACGATGACTGAACTTTAATGTACCCTAGCTGTATTATTGGCCTGTAATTGAACATCTTTTAATACTTGCACGCTATGTATAAAATGTTTAATATCCTGTCTCGTTCTTGTTTGCGGACCCGCTTACGTGGTACAACAAAGGGGCGAATCAGGATTGTGTTGGTTTTGTGTATGTTATTTCTAGAAGTGTTTGATCAGAATGCTAGATCTCATTCCTTGAACTTGGGCCTCTTCAATGTGAAGTGACTGTGATTTGATTTGGATCTGCTCCTCAAGGTCTAGTTGCCGTCTACAGAGAGCCTTTAATCCCTCCTCAGCTTCGTGGAGCTTTTTTTGTAATGTGTCTGTATCCATTTGCAATTCTATCGCTTGATCGAGTATTCTGAAAAAGAATAAAATTGCTGATGGTGTACTTTATGCCTAATTCATACCTGTAATGTGGGGTGTCTCTGCATAGTTCTGTTTGGGGCCTGCAATCCCTAAGGTTCCGTCTAATACCTGTGATTGTAGAGGTTTTCTTTACGTCACAAAGTGCTTTTTTGATTTCGGTGATGTTATCTTCCATGTCGGAAATTTCTTTGAATATCTGTTACTTTGTTAAAATCGAATTGCAACATTACAATCGAGAGATGCTCTTCTAGTTTCCGCTTTGTGTCGCGCGTTTCACTAACCCGTTTTTTAATAGCCCAGTTTGTTGAATCCACTTGCTGTTTTTGGTCATTAAATACCTGCAGCAAAATACCATCGATTAAGCTTAACATTTGATTTGAATTTTGGACCTGCCGGTCCGCCTCATCTAGATTCCTCTGGACAGCAGCTTGCCATTCCGCTGTGCTTAGCGACCTACATACTTAAATAATCATAGTGTTTACTTACGACCCAGGGGGGTTAATACATTTTAATTCATCTGGAATATGTTCACCAAAAGAAAGAGACTTTGCATATTTGTCCAGATTCTGAGCTGTTTGCTTCGCAAGAAAGTCCTTTTTCATGTTAAAAGCTGACTTTCGGTTAAGTCTGGATATAACCTATAGCAGAGCGTTACCTTAATTGCTCAATCGCTTGTTCAATCGTACGATTTAAAAGTGTGCGTATTCTTGTAAATAGTTCAACTTCTCGCATGAGTTGGTTGTGAGGATCGTCAGCCACTAGATCAATCCCCTTGCGTTCATTTCTTAAAATGTTTCGGAAATATTTGTGTACCTTACGGCAATACATTGCTGTGATATGTGTAAAGGCTCCGCTGTAGCATCTAACGCCATTTTCAATCGGACAATGTAAGAATGTAGAGCATCTGATTTCTTTGCTATATCCGCCAGCTTGTTTTCAAGCTCACTCTTCCAAAAGTTAAGATTCTTAATTCTTTGTTCTCAATACAAAGCTTATTTGTATTGTCCATATTACCTAACTTCTTGTCCACATCCTCCATGGTTTTATCAGTACGATTCTTAATTTCCTCTATACTTCTATCGCATTCAAAATCCAGGTTCTGTGCAAGTTTACACACAGCATCAGCATTTTTGTACTTAAGTTGCTTAGAACAAAACCACTCATTTGGTGTGAAGATCTTAGGAGGCTTAATTAGTTCCGACATTCCAAAAATTTCAAAAAATCGCCTTAAGCACAAGTGATTGGTTACTACTATTTTATTGATATAAACGAAAATTTAAGGTTGCTCAATTATTATTTTGCTTATTTTTAATCCAATAAATTATAAAATAAAATTTTTATCAATGACCTAATTTTAATATGCATGTGTGCTTTTTTTGCCTAATATTGTATTTTGGTTTAAAAAAATTTGTATTGAATTTTAACAGATTGACCATGACTAAAATCCTACTCTCCTTCTCACCAAACTCCTAGAATGATCCTTCTTATAAATATGATCCTGCAATTCATGGATGTAAAAAACTTAGGGCAGTGCATTTGTGAGCTGATAGATTCAAAATAGTTGAATGCGACAGCTATTAAACCATGTCGAGCTGTCGTTACCAGATTTTGGCTGAACCTCATGGCGTCACCACGTTTTGTCGTTTAAGATGATTTTTTTGCAAAGAATGCAACCTTTTTATTTAGCAAAGAAGCTGAAAGTTGGATCGTTAAAGATTTTGCGTCGACTGAATAAAAGGAGTGTGGCGGAGGTTAATCGTCGTACAGCGATGATTTGGATAGAATGACAAAATAAGCTTAGCATCACATTATTTTACTAAAAAATCCGGGCCTATATTGGTGAGTGTAAAAAGGAACATCTGGGTAGAGCGACGGAACGGAATCGTGAATAATCAATATGTCTTATTGCTGGGGATTCACGATTCCCCAAGATTGGTTTCTGATTTTGTTTACATTAATTAACTGACAATTGTTTTGGTACGCTTTTTATCAAGTCATTGTCAACGCTGACTTAAATTAGTTTTACTTTCGATACTTGACTTCTTTGCACGTGGCTGATGCGATTAAGGCTCTCTACACGAGCCCTGGTCTTGTTCCTGTGTTAGCCTGGGAATGTCGGTTCTAGCTTTAGCAAGGGATATGGTACCGTTATTTGAGTGATTTTCTCTTTGCTACGGGCAAACGTAACAGATTTAACCTAAGAACTTGCACATATGGTTTTGTTGACTTAGTATTTTAAAACAATTTTTTTAAGATTTTTGCCAACAACTCATTTAGATACTGCTTATGCCGCAAAAACCACATGTAAATTGCTGACGAATGTCTCTATAAGAAAATAAATTACCAATATTTTCTGTAAATACTTCTAAGTCAATTTATTTTGACACTTTCTCATTGTCTATCAGAATGGCCTGCTTTACTTTCTGTCATGAATGCAGAGAAAAGGAGCCATGTGTTAATTGTTATAAGCAGAGAGTCAAATTTGGATAAATAATTTTCGTCTGACAACCTAATCAAAAAGGTTCGCAGTGGTGTGGTAGAGTAGTCAAAAAAATATGTCAGCAATTGTCCGTTCTTGATAAACCAGAGGGCTACCTGTGGAATTTGTTACATTTTCACAATATTTTAAAAAGTATGATAGCGCTCTAAATCCGCGGTACTCGTAATTTTGTTCCAGTTGAATTAAATTAATCGAATAAATGTTTATCAGAGCCCCCGTTAGTAAAATGGGTTTGATTAGCATTGTAAACTGCAAATATCGTGAATTAGATATATGAAAATATGGACAAAGCAACAAGTCGAAGTGTACATTTGTACTTATAACTTTGGATTTCACCAACATGTGTAGGTTTTGTTAACGAAAGCGTTCTGGACTTCGTTCGAAAGGTTCGCTGAGGAAGCTCATGATAATAAATTGCTTGCATCTTGGAGAGTCAGCAAGCACAACACCTGCCAACTCTGCCAAAACAGCATAATTACTGTAAATAAGTAATTTTGCATTTTAAATTTATGTAGAATGACAAAGCCCTTGAGGATTCGTTGAACAAGCTGTTTTTAGGAGCTATTATTTATAACAAAAACTATTTACTTAGCTTTTAGATCAGATTTTAAGATTAAAAAGTCATTGCTTTTTATTAAATTTCTTGCCCAAGGTCTTTGAACTCATTAGAAGTACTACTTCGTAAAATGCCCTAGGTCATGTGACATTTGTAGCCAATACCGGTCAGGGCGTCGAATCTCATTATATTCGTAGCCTATCGTGTTTGTGCAGTACGGGAGTTTGTCCTAGCAATTCGTACTGCTCTTGTGGTGTATCTCTTTCCTTCCGAGTATTAAATCTGAGCACTCATCCTTTGTCAGTTTGTAACACAGAAGTGTTTTAAGGCGAACAGCCCATAAGCTGAGGAAAAAATTTAGCAGATGACTTGTTTACTTGTTTTCTTTTCAAACCATTATTACTGTGCTGCTAAATGGAAACTACTGATGCATCAAAGTATTCTTCTACACAAGGCATATTAGTGAAGCGCTCGGATGCCCAGTCGCTTCCGACTAATGTGTGTCGACAGAACTCGGGGCTTTCGTGTTCTCCAGGTTTGAATCCCGTGTCGATTTTATTGATGATTTGAAGATGCACATATCCTAATTCTCTTGATTTACATTTTAAGGAGCTAAGTTGTGGCAATCGGCCTTCAGGAAAGTTCGCTCTCGGGCTGCCGAGCTGGATCCATGGAGCGATTTTGACTTAAAGTCGACACCTACTATTGCGGCTATCCGTCACCGTTACAGCGCACTTAAGAAGAAATGGATCAAGGACAATATTTTAGTTAAATTGGAGGAAAAGGCATTTAATCGCGGTGCTATGAGAGAATGTTTCAGATTGTAATTTCCAATTTTGACAAAATTGTTTTGAAAGTACTTGCAACTTAGCTCGTTATGTGTTTCCTCCGTTTAGCATTGCTATCATAATCGTGAATTACTTCTTAGTAGCAACTGTTACCCTCCTTTTTCATAATTGTATTACTTGAGGCTCGTATCCACAGGATTACATACCATTTTTGTAGAAAAAAGGCCCCCGACAATGGTGACTGGTACTCCGCTTCAAATTACGTTGCAAAGCGCTACATCTCCTCTGTTAGTAACTCCGTTTACTTAGACGATGTACGTTTGCAAATGGAAGCTAAATTGTGGGCCGAGGCTTTTAACAGGCAAAACCCCCCAAAGAAAGTGAGTTTGCTCACGGTATTTTTTGATATATGCTCTTTCGATTAAAATAACCCCTTTTCACAAATCCTAGGTCGATGTATTCCAAATGTCTGTGATAGAAATTCTTCCCGAAGCCCCTGTTAGTCCTCCTCCCCATTGCGATACAAAGCGTCGAAGTTCAATTACGCTGATAAATGCACCCTCAATTCATCGCCAAACTACTTCTCAATTTTATCACATCGAGCGATATATGGATGGGGAGTATTGCAAATACAACTCTAACTCTGGGTTCGTTGCTGATCAGCTTCGAAACACGCCGCAGGTTAGCACGCTGCATAATTTCTTTGCTTGAATTAGTGTTTACCTGGGGTAATTTCCAGAGGGTTGTTAAATCAACGCCAACAGTTATGTGTCTGCCTTGCACGTACTCAAATTTTATGGCCTTGTCATCGCTTCATGTTAATTCGGTGCCTTTGACAGGCAGCCTGGCTGAAAAGAAGCACCCGCGTCCTCAACCGCATTAACTTTAGTCGGGGTTCTTTTTCACTTTATGTTGTCTGCAAGATATATGTTTACGCATAATTTTTTGTGAATTCTAGTGTTTTATTTTATTTGTGTTTTCCAACTTTAAACACTATTTGAATTCACAGCTGACTTTAGTCTTCATTGATGCTGTCTTTATACTAGATTTCCAGCACCTCAAATGTCAAACCAGAAAATATTGGAATACACTGACACTCTTAAGATGACCCACTGTGTCTGGTACCTTAATTTAAAAATTTTTCATAGGCTCCTCTAACACGTGCGGTTTCATTTTCCATGATAACCCTATCAATTTTCACGTTAGTTTATGTCGCTTTAAAGCAATTTCTCTTGATTATCTGCAGTATCAACGCTCTCCATGTTTGTTACCGCATTATCGCAAAGGTCAATGCCCCATAATCCACCAAATATCAGGTAGAATATCAATCAACCGTTGTAAATTCTATGAGGATATCAGGAAACGCCTTTCTGGTTTGTGGATGTTTAAAGAAGTGGTTAATCCATGGATAAAAAACATGGCGGTGCTAATACTCGTTAATTTACTCCACGGAAATGTCAGCAATTTGTCTAAGTCAAGAAATGAAAACATCATGCTAGTCCAGCATCTTGTAGCCATGGGCCGGTAATTGAACCAAAATTGACAAATGTCGCTGAGGCACCAACATGCTTATTTAATGCCCCCAACTATTTGCTTAAATCATAAACCACGTGCTCTAAATCACTCGCCGTTAAATGGTCGTCTAACCTCTAGGCGTGGTTTCGTTTCTGTCCCCATATGTTCGGTTACGTTGCCCGTTTTTCCACATCCCAAATGTATAGGCCTTCAGCCACTTTACCTTCGAGCGTTCTGGTCATCGCCTATTAGTCGTGGATATCCAGGGTGTTGGCGATCTATATACTGACCCTCAAATCCATACAGCTGACGGCCTCGGCTACAATGACGGGAACTTAGGACTCCGTGGAATGGCCTTATTTTTTCACTCTCATCGATGCAATCCCCTGTGCGTTTACCTTGGTTTAACTCCGTTTGATCTATCAGCTAATGAGGTAAAGGAGCTCTTTAATGGCGAAGCCGATGTAAATGTGGACATTGAAGATGTGCAAAACCAATCTGATGAAGATACTGGAGAAGACGCCGATGTTTCTGAAACCCTTGAATCTCTTTCGGTATGAGTTGTCATCTTCTTGGCACCTTTGTCCCACATTTTATTCATTCACTTTTAATTATAGTCCCCTACAAATAGACAGTACCAACAGCCGCATGGAACTATGCATCATTTTCTAGCGTCGTCGTTGACTAACGAGGATGGATTCTTCCGCCCACATGTCCGCAAACGTTCTCTCTCTTTCGGTATGATTCCCCTGGGTTTTTCACCCTCCACGTCCCTTTCCGCGTGTTATCGGTCAAACAGCAAACAGTTTTATGGTCCTACAGTCACTAAAGAGGATGAGTATCGTGTCACACCTCGTCTACGCAGCCTAAGTGGTTGCTCTGCCGGCGACAATTATACCGAACTCGGTTGCCGAATGCAAGCTTCGAGTGATGTAAGAGCTCCTGCTGCCCTTCGAAACCTTTCAAGCAGCACTGAATCGAATGACATTGATTTACCCACGTTTCCTGATGCTGTATTAGACGTCGACTCGGGGTTCAGTTGGGATGACGAAGGAAGTGGTGGGATGTTTCGCTCACGAGGCCGAAGAACGCGAACTGTTAGCGAATCATCCGACGTGGACTTTGAAGTGTCCGTTGTTGCAGGCCCACTGCACCAAGCTCTTCACGAGACACACAAATCAGCTTCAGCAGCCCACCCATCGAACCTGGATCAGGAGATCGGCCAATCCATTTTGGGCCAGTTGCATCACGAACTTGCACGGCTACACGAAGCTGGCAGGTTTGTGGAAAGGCCTATTGGAGGTTGGTCACAGAATGGACTGGGCGGACTCATGCTAGACGAAAGCACCAAACCCCACGAGGACGATCCTTCCCGGTCAATCGACTGGGAGTCAGTTCTATTTCATGAGCGTCTTGCAGCTCAGTTGGGCTGCCTTGAGGCTCTAATAATCATGGCTCATTATTACCTTGGTCTCCCTACCCAACTCCTTTCAGACTGTCCTATCAAGGTAAATTCACTAAACAGTACACCAGGTAATGTAATCTCATCAGCTGGGTTGAACGCGGTGGCGTTTCAAGGGCGCTTATTTTTTTAACTTAGCCTCTTGAAGAGGACCTGAGTCTGGGCGTTGACTACTTGTGGCGCTCATCAATGGGTGGTGACCGGCGCTGTATGATTCTTCTTGCACGTTACATGGATGCATCGGTTGTTTTTGGTGGATCTAACTCGGATTCTCCGCCCGTGGTTGATCGAGTAGTTATTAGGAAGGCATTAAATCTTCGCACGACCCCAGTAGATGATTTTCTCATCCTATTGTCTTCCCACCGCGGCTTTCCAGTGCCCGCTGGGTCCGCGGGTCGCCCCTGGGCCGAAGCCGTCACCTGGTACCGAAAGGCCATTGTAAACGCAGGGATCACAATCCCCGGTGATGGCTGCTGTGAGGCAGATGAGGGTTGCGATGCTGAAGGCCGTTACGACGCAGCAGAGGATCTGTCTCCGATACACCGGCTGCTTGCAAGGTTAGCGGAGATGTACGAAGTCGGTGGGCATGGGCTACAAGCCGATCCTAGCATGGCTGGTAAGTGTTTTCGACCTAATGTAGTTTGATGGTGTTCCCCGTTGATAAGATCAGCAGCGGCGACCTAACCTGCATTTATCCATTCCCGGACGTGAAAAATGAGGTCGTTTCTTTTTTTTTATTCAGAATTAGATTATTTGATGAAAAATAAGACGGGTTCTTTGAATCTATACAATCCACACGGTTAAATTCTTTTAACTTCTCTGCTTATGATTACTCACAATGACGTTAAAAATCCAGATTTACTTGATTTCAATGACACTAATAATGCCTACATAGTTTGAATATGCCCATAACTTTGGCTTAATAGTCTCCAATACTTGTGAATCCTATTGGTTTTAGGATAAAACAGTTTTTATAGTACAATGTGTAATGAGTACAATCCTTCAACTGTTGCTTCCGATCCAATATTTTAATTAACCCCCCCCCCCCAATGTTGTATCCAGTTGTAGCATCATGTATAGTGTCATGAAGTAGCTTCGGATTTGAACTATTTTACGCACTTGTTAACTCAACTTATTTTGCATGTTTCTTTTATATGGCCCTGTTAATGTGCTGATGTTAGTAAGTGGAAAATCGGTTAAATGAGATATTCTTGAAATATCCGAGGTACGATGGCTTCGAAGTGGATTCTAAGGTGTAAATACTATACAACTCTTCTTAGTTCATGTATTGCTAACTTGTGCTCACGATTCAATAAACCGATCCTCTTCTTCATTATTGTCCAGGCCTTGTCTAATGATGTCTGGCTTGCCCATCCACCAAGCCTGGGTTGGCTCCAAATATAAACACTACATCTAATTGTGCAGATTAACGGGTGTAGCTGATAAAGGTTGTCTCCCGATTAAATGTGTGGATCTGGCTGAGTTTTTCGATTCGGACTATTGTGAGTAGGCATAATACTTGTGGAACCTTATTGCTAAGGCCCTGCGATCGGCGACTGCTTGGGCCCACCTAATAAAGCCACAACCGCAAACAACTGCTCCTGTCCGATAGTCGGTAGACATGCCACCACGAATGTGTCATTTAACCATTTTGCTCGTGGAGCCCTCCAGCTATCTGCATTAGCGCTTTTGTATTTGGCCCGCAGCTCTTGTCTAAAACCCCTGTTTTCAATTTAAGGTGATCTGTACACTGAGGCAGCGGAGTCGGCAACACGGCAGACCGATGGTCGCCTGGCGGCTAAGTACTTTGAGCTCGCGGATGAGGCCTACGCCAAGACAACCGAGTAAAACTGCAGTTTTACCGCTTATATGAAATTTGCGTCTACTCCGCATTCCCATTTCCGCGTACATTGTTTTGTCAACAAACCTTTTAGTTTGTTTTACTGTTTGTGCCGTGCTTATACGTAACCCCCGCGGAATCCTTGCTGTCTCCCGTGATGGCGTGCATTTCGGTGACTTCCCTGTCCCGCTTATATGACCTTTTTAACTACAACCTCCCCCGTTAATATGAGAACTTGGGCTATTTTTCGATTAGTGTGTATGCGCAAAATATAATAAATGTTAATCACCGGGGCTTATTCATTGTATGGGGCTGTCGGTTCGTGCAAAATGTCTGTTCATAATAAACGATTGTCCATTAAATATAAAGAAAGCGATGATTAAGAACGAAACCTCTGTTAATATTTGAGAACAAATAGTGTGGCACTCTACGAAATCGAAGTAAGTGCAATCTAATACATGCATAACAAAAAAACGGATTTTGATCTTGCGTCAGCCTAGTGCATGTAGAACAAAAAAACAATAGCTAACGAATTCATACCAGGTTGTGAGCAAGAAAACTGCAAATTATTGTCTCTGAGAGTGTTCTGGAATAATTACTGAAAGTTGAGTCATTTGCGACCTTATGAACGCAAAATGCAAAGCTTTTTTCACCTTAGTGTATAGATTAATATAACCGAAAACATACTTTCCGCCGGACTGTCATAAGTACTAGACAAAAATAAAGGCGCCACATTAATAAATGTCTGTTTTTACTAAAGGTAAATCACCTTTTGTAGAAATTAACCCATTAAGCACGAAAGGAGATTGCTGAGTTATGAACATACAAGTGAGACAGTTTGAAATTTCGATCTGGTTCTTCAAATCTATGAACAGGCCACCAACTTTTATTAAATAAGCAGATTTTCGTTTTTCATAGTTGGGGTAGGAGTTTGCTTTTAAGTGCCTTTGGTAACCAAGCCTTGGAGCCTCGTTGCTTTTATCAATGAATTTCGGATCAATCGGTATATATTACCTGTAGACTCTGGCCTATTTCCGACGCGCTTCGGCATTTCATGTATATTCCATTCGTTGGACAGGCAACTTTGACCTCCTTATCTATGGTAATGTAATGCATCATTAATAAGTCAGCCTGCTCCCATCCTCGTATCCCCGCCAATGGCTCTAGAGTATCACGCTCACGAATGAGAACCGCGTTTAACAAGCCACGAAAGCGGCTTGCTAAACGCGGTCGCACATCCAAACACACCGCCACTCTCCTCCACTCTTTAACTGCGCGAATGCGAATCACATGGTATCCGGTGCACGTGGGCTGCAAGTAGGACGCGTAAAAATTCCGCGCTACAGCAATCGCAACTGGGTCGTTTTACCGCTGAGGCTGTGGTTGAATTGTCCGTTTTACGTGTTGCAGTTGGGTTGAAACTTTTAGGAGAAAAAAATTGCATCCATTCTTATGCAGTTATTGAGCCATGGCCACTTTCTTCCATAGCATACCACACTTCAAAAGCCTTATTACGAATAAACAGCGGCTAAGTAAAAGGTGCTTTGAGATGTAGTTAAAAATTAACACGTTTCAACGACCTGCAGATGTCTCCATTCCTGGATTCAGCATACTCCAAGTGCTATTACTGTGGTCACAATCAAAATGCATAGTCAACAGGAGGCGTCACTGCCTGGAAAATTCGCAGACAGTTGATTACCAATTTAGATTACCAAGAATCGTCGTTATCTTCGGATTCTTAGTCAAGTGAATTCCCATTTTTCGTTGTGAAGGTGGTAAATTTTCCATCAAATTTCTGCTAACTGCGTCTCCGCAGGCACATCCACCAAATGCAAAGTTGACAACTCAATCGTCATTTGAAATCTGCCGAAAGCAGCCCCACTAAGGCTTTGAGCCACCTGCAGAAACTCGTAGCTCTCCACAGACGTGGATCTGGCGTGCCATGTGGATTAAAAGATTAGGGATTAAATGCACTGCGCTTCTACTTGTGGTCGGCTGTTCAAACTCAAGTAAAATGAATCATAATCCAAAAAGTCGTGGCGAAGAGAGGTGAATTTCCGTAGACATGGGAGAGTAACGTGTTGGATCAGTTGCTGTCACCCAGTCGGAGTATCAAATTCCCATATCAGTGCCCGTAAAAGTGCCCTGTCGAAGAAACAGCAGATTGGAAATGGCCATAGTTATGCATATTCAGGAATTATTTTCTATCTGAGACTGAATGTTCTTACGAATTTTAAATGAAATTTTTAGAAAAAATGTAGTGCCCAACCCTCTATCTGTGTTTTAATGCGTCAACGAATTAGGCATATCGAGGGTGATTTTAATGTGGGGACCTTGGAGTTTATCAATGCACACATGTGTTCTAAAGGATTATCAGTGTCCGACGGTAATCGGCAATTTTCTACACTGGAGATGGTTAGGTGTTTAGACATTAATTTTAGAACGTTCTACTCATGTTTAGCTGCGGTAAGACACATAAGGATCCAGAATTGTTCAGCGGTGTATTTGAAATTAGTTTATGGGTTTGCCGGCCCGAATATAACCCATTTAAAGTTAATTCGGATCAGAAATATGTAAATTAAGCATTTAAGTGCACTCAAAAAGTGGAGGTATAATAGTAGTTAGTGTCAGTGTAGAATAATTATAAAATTCCAAGTGTGTAATTCACATTAAAACGGCTGATCTACAACTAGTGATACTTAAGTAACTACAGCATTTAGACATTTGAGACAAACAAGGCTGGCGTCTGAACAGTGTAAACGTTTGCTAAATCAACCTGGACTTTAAGGTTGTGAAAAGTGGCAATTTTGACAATACGGAATTTGTGTCACCTTTGCCTACTGATAGCTTTGAAGGTCTTATATAATAGGGACAATTTATTGCCTGCTCATGCGTCTCGGTGATCTTCTAGACACTCCCCTCTTCTTCCAAATGTGCATTCAGATTAGATTTAGTGTATGCAAGATGCGTAAGTAAACCACGAGCTGAGAACAGTGGGTAGAAAGTAGAAATCCAAGTGTATGAGTAGAGATTACTAAAAGGTGTTGTTGTCGTCAGCAAGTCTGAGCTAACAGGCCAGCTAGTGGATTGGTAGGCCCAGTATAAAAATAGTGCTATGGGAGAATTTTGAGCAAGGCGATCACGAAGTGGTCACCGGTTGTTCAGACTTTGATGTGGGGCTCGAACTCATAAAGAATGAGAATATCGATTCCAATAGGAATCCATCCGCTTTCCAGATACCTCGAACAAACTTCTTAGAAGGGGGGGGGGGCTTAAAGGACAATGCACGTCGGCGGTTTTTAGTCGAAACCAATACATGATTTGAAGTCAGTGCTAGAATACTTGCTCAAGTTTGGGTAGGACTGTAAAGGAATAGAGACAAGAAAAAATGCATATTCTCTGCTTATCGCTTACAAACAATTTCTTTTGTGGTTGTTTAATTTTATTATTATTTCTGACACTGATACGATAAGCACGGAAATTAACATTTAGATACTGGTCAGAGTAAGTCCCACTGGTGGCGTCAGAGGTTACGGGGGCCTCTGTCAGGTGAGTAAAGTTAACTTAAGCTGAATGCGCCTGCCACGTTTGTCCTTACGTGATAGAATTCTAGCTACCGACTTGATGCGATAAATTACTGCGTGACCATTGGCCAACCCAAGTTCATTCTTAGGCCAATCAAAGTTCTTACTGTAAATAATAAGGGTCCACGAAACTTCGAGTTTCACGATTGAACACGCCTCGAATCCCCAAAAAAATAGAAGACGATTTGAAACGTTTAACAAAGTATGTGTTATTCTAACCAACAAACTTTACAACATAAAACACTAAGCAGTAAACTCACACAACAAAGATGCAAAGAGTAGTATCTTACCACCATAGGGCCTTGTGGGTTTGGAGGGTACAGTGACCAAATTATAATAGGTGCTCAGAAAGAATCAGAATAAACACAACGGACAAATCAAGAATAACGATCGATGTAGCATTGGCTAACCTTTTTGGTACATTATCATTGGGATGCACTGGTTAGGTTTGAAAAGACTTGAGTGTATATGTTTGAGCAGACGGTTTTGAACTTTTATCACATAAGACCAGTGTACTCAGTCTTCCACTGGTGTTTAATAAAACTATGGTAATAAGATATCTAGGCCTTTTTGGGTCAGGCGTTTTCCATAGCATTGTTATTTATCTTGAAATTTGTCAAGGTCCTTATTCAAAAAAATTTCGAGCTGAAATTACAACTAGAATTGGGCGGACTGCAAATGTCCAAAATGAATCTGCGGTGGGACTGTGAAGGTGCAGCTTCACTGAGACAATTCTTCAGAAGTTTAGAGGAAGGCAACTAATTGCATTTTGACATTAATTCGAAATAGGAAATGGCAGACATTAGGGGACGACTTTGTTTGACATCTTAGACCATATAGTGGCTAATGGATAAACTAATAAAGTTTATTAGGGTTTCATTTGATGGAATTTAGTTATATTAATTTTAACAAGTATCTTATTTCCTAATAGTAAGTCGTTCTCGTGGCATATGATCCATTCTATCTGCAGCTCAATAGAATAATGGAAAACCTTGGCTATTTCATTACCTCTAGTACTTGTAAACATTGGATATAAGTGACCTCGGCAGCGAGTTTAGCGTTTTTACGTGAAATGAAGAACACATCATTCGACTGCAAAGCCAGGCCTGTTGGGATCTGTGTGTCACCATCCACCCAATCGCTTAGTGTCTTGCTTTTTAGTGCATGTTTTTACGACGTCCGGATACTCTTCCAAGACCTGAAAACTTCGATGTACAAGATTTTATCAGGCTGCTTTGGCAATTCTAAGCCTGCCGGATGACAGATTTAGGGAACTAACCCCGTTTTGATGGGTTAATAATCTTCATGGTTGTGTCCGTGCTGTCTGCAGCTTGTACAGATGACGTGAACTATTTTACTCACCAAATCCAAACTGTTGACAACTGTACATATTGCAGATCTCTGACGATGCTTGTGGCATTTGG